TTGTACCATGTGACATGGTGACGGGTGGTGACGTTTTGCAGCGCCGGCTTAAGTAACACAAAAAAAATCTAACTATGATGCATTGCGTCAGGACCAGAATGCATTGCTTTAAGCCAGTAATGTAAGCGGCTGCATGAAGTCGAACGCACCCAATGTTAGGATTGTTGGCAGGATTGTTTAAGACGACTAAATGAATGCAGGTTGATATGTTAAAGAAGACCATGATGTTGACTAAGACACAGCAGCATGTGTGTGAAGCCACATCTTACGCTGCGAGTGTGTTTCACACCTACAGCAATGCAGAGCAGATGCAGTCCTGGATCACCTGCATTAATACGGTGGCGGCCATGTTCTCAGCTCCACCCTTCCCAGCAGCCATTGGCTCCCAGAAGAAGTTCAGTCGGCCCCTGTTGCCAGGTTCCACCACTAAACTGTCTGAGGTATTTGACCTGTAATGTAAATATAAACCCAACCCTAATCTAACCCCAATTTCAACCCTAACCTTAGATTTATCTCTGCACATCCTCACACAACTGCCCACCATAACTACTCCAAAACAACTATTTTTCCTTTACTCTTTCTCGGTTGACCTCTGCTCTGTGAAAGTCAGTGCTGCCACCTACTGGAAATACTTAATCAATTTTCCTTGCACATGCACAATGTGCACAGACGTGCATGATTTCCCCCAGACACAAAAATCTGGGCTACATGCATGCCGTCTGGCGCATATCACTGGTGACAAAATATATGTCACTTTTTGTGCGGAAAAGTAACGTATGAATTGGCCTTCCCCTATCCCTAACCCTGCCTTAATAATATCCCTTTCCCTGAGTCTGGTATTTACTCCAAGCCCTTCTGTTGCACCACCACAGAATTCTCACTCTGCACCAGTCACATTGCCACTGAGGCTGTTGGGGTCTGTTTTGGCAGGAGGAGCAGGTGCAGTCCCATGAGACTCGTTTGCAAACCGCTTCTTCAGAGCTAAACGAGCTGCGTTCCTCCCCTCCGGACCGCAAGGTCAAAGGTCGTGAGCTGGAGGAGTACCGCCAGAGAGAGGAATACCTAGAATTTGAGGTGAGAAATGAGCACTGGGAGCTCTGAGAAGTGTAATTATTGTTTTAGACAGTATTGGCTTGTGAATAATTAGTATAGATATACATGCAATGAAGGCTTGGAATTTTCTTTATTGACTGTTAAAGTATAAAAAACTGCCAGGGTTCTGATCATTTTAGAAAAGACTGTAAACTGTGCAATTTCCCTGCGGGTACCCAGTGCCTAACTGTAAAAACAGAGAAGATCTCGGAATAAAGTTTGCCATGGATTGTCATGCACATGGCAGAGTGTCGCTTCCTTTTCTTGATGTCCGTTTGCTTATTGCTAGAAAACGCGGTATGGGACTTATGCCATGCTGCTCCGCGCCAAGATCCGAATTGGAGAAGTGGATCTCTCTGCATTCGAGTCCCGTCTCCATGACGATGGTGGGCTGCAGCACACCTACTCCAGCCCCACACTTCAGCCGGAGTCCATTCACAGGGGCCAGGCAGGCAGCAGCAAGGCCACTAGACGCGGGGACGGCCAGAGGCACAGCTACCGACAGGCCGTCAAGCCATGATGGGGCTGCTGGGCCTCTGGGGGGTGGAGCCCATCAGTCCTTCCTGGACTCCTTGGCCAATCATGGAAGCTGACAGTCTTGTGACTGACTAGTAGTGATTGTTGGTAGAAAAAGGACAGAATGGGCAATAGCCCACCTGGACCACCATGTGGATGTTTATTTCGTTTAACCATCTAATAAGGGGATCGATTTTGCTCAGCTTAATTTTTAAAATTCAGTCTGGAGCACAAAATTCCAGATCTCAGTAGTCTGTTTGAGGGTCACTTGGGCCTACGTGATGTTCCTCCTTCAGAGGCCAGTGCCGTGTTCAGAGCGTTTGTGTCTCATTCTTGCTGGTTGGTAGCTGTATGGCTCCTCTGTGAGGTAGGCCCTTCCCTGCATCATCAACGAGGTGGGGGCATGAGGTGGGGGGGGGGGGGGGGGGGATCGGATCAGCAGTATGCATCTCTGCCAGGGGAATTTGAGGTCATAGGGCTCAGCTCCAAGCTGGTGGGGGGGGGCACGTTGGCTGCAAGGCTGGTGCTGGTTGGCCAGAGACAGAGAATCTCGATGGAACTGGCCAAAGAGCCGAGCCAGCAGGCAGCACTGGGAGCTGGGATCCCTGCCTGAAGTCATTCGGAGTCCTTCTGCCCACTCTAACTCTCCATGCACTGCACTGCCTCTCCCTCCCTCTGGCACACTCGCTGCCTCCGATGGCCACAGATCTGAACTCGCTGGTGGGAGCTGAGTCATCAAAGTGTTTTCCATGTCCTGCCTAGGAGGGATATTTTTGCTGGAGAAATTATGTTTTGAGTCAACATTTTGTTGTTTTGTTTTTTTTGTTTCCATTTCCTTCGAATTTACTGTGAAAACGACCACGGAACCAATTTCATAGCTAGGCTAATTTATTTATTTATTGAGGCAGTGATGTAAGTCATCTATTTATTTCAGAGGATATGCAGATTATTTTTCTGTTCTGACTTGCACATACCCACCAGGTACAGTAGGATTGCTCTGTCAGGTTGCCTCAACATTGTTTTGTCCTGCTCGCTGTATGAAACTTCCAGTCCCTTTTCCAGTTCAGTAGTCTGGCTTGTGTATTCTCTTATTCTTCGAGCCACGAAGAGTCAGCAGAAGGCACATGTAAGGTCCAGTCTTTGGTCTTTACCTCGCTGGCCAAGGAGGCTCATGGGAAAAGAGTCTGTAATCTTAGATTTTGTTTAGGCACCTTAAACTCACCTTTGGTTATAAATGCATTTTATCTCAGGCGGTAGCTACAATGATAAATAGTCTGGCTCTAGTTCTTATTTCCACACCATTGCGCCAGGAACATTTATAATTATGAAAATTACTGGGTATTGTTAGTTTTGCTCACAACTTAAATACATGAAAGCCTGAAAGGACTGGAATATAGAAGAGATTTGTGTAAGAACAAATGAAAATTGCAGACAATTTATAAATCTCCTTTAGAGATTCGGCAATGTGTAAATATACTAGAACAGGTCTCATGCCTCATGTCATATTTTTGTCACAAGGTATGTTCTACTCAGGAGCTCGTTGTCCACAATGGAAAACCATACACAGTAATTCCAGCACTCTATCAAAAGAGGGAGCCATTTTCTTCTAGAAACATCTCCACCCAGTATATTGAAGAGGATATTTATTGGCTGGTCACGGTACTGTTGGATCATGGCTGGTTGATTCCGAGGCACTGGGCCGTTTAAACTTCGGCTGATTCCATAGAAAAAGGAAGTCTGCATGTGAGGTTCCAGCCACTTCAAGCATTCCTTGCCCTGTGGGCTCTCCTTCACTCTGGAGATTAACCAGAAGGTTAGACACTCCTCTGCTTTAGGTCGCTAAGTACAGTACTGGCATTATTTGTCCATGTCCTTTGTTTAATAGGTAAATCCCATTCTGTTATGTGTTTGACTCCGAGTCATTTTCCCAGTGAGTCGATGGCTATGTGGGCTGGCAAAATTTATTGTGGTGAGGCAGACACCACTCCAAAATTTACCTTGAGGTTGTAGAGGACCCCAAAATTTAGGGGCGATTTTTAATCTGATGGGGATGGAACACGGCACTGCAGCAGTTTCAAAGGTACATCTCCAGGTGTTTCCTATGTGGCCTGTTTTGGTGACCCTAAAGTGGCTGCAAGGTGACAGCCATGTGACAGACTGCAGGATCCCCCGGTTGAAGGGGAGGTGCACCTCTCTCTCTCTCTTGTCTCCCTCGGCGCTGGTTTCCAAGCAGACCATGGACCAAGCTCAGCCATGTAGCACAGCCCTTCTCTGGTCCAGTGGAACATCTGTGGACTACATGTATGGTATTGCTCTCCAGATCTGTTATTTTCAAAATTATTTTTGTTCATGGTTGCTCTGCAACTCAGTCTGAGTGTTGCACATGATCACAGGTGTTTGTCTGTGTGTGTGATCCTCAGGGTAGGATTAGCGGGTCAGAGGTTAAGGTGGGATTAGGAATTCCCAGCTGGTAAGAGATTTGGATGGTAATGACTTTGGCTTTGTGGGATTTGCAAATGTGCTGTAATGGAGCAGAAGGAGACATTTTACCAAGAGCCAGCTGACCAGTGAAATGGTGACGACAGGGAGAATTCCACTGTAAAAAAACAATTTAGCAAATCAGCTTGATTGCAGCAGATCCACTGGACCACCCAGCATTGTTTTTTTTAACTTTGGATCAATCTAACACAGTGACTGTCTCCATCTTGTGCACTGTAGGCAGCCCAGAATCAGGATCAGTATATGCGTCTATTTCTGATTATTGTTGACATGGAAACCACCTGACCACCCACAGCTGGGAAATCTCTATAAGGGAGACACAGACCAACTACAGCCCTAACCCACACTAAACATGCACTGTCAAATACCATGTGTAAATACTACTCATTCTTTTAGTTGTCTTACATATAGTGTACTCTGAGAAATGTCATATTAAAATATGCATCAGGAAATCGAATTATATTTATGTCATTTTATATACAGGTATTATGTGTAATACCTCAGCTTCTGTTGCATCTGTTACAGTGTTCAGTGATTAATATGAATGTCTTTATTTGGACTGTTGAACTTTAGATGTATGTTTGCCAGCAGCCTGTAAAACCAGCCCTGAATCAGTATGGTGTTTGTATATATAAGCTTTTTGGCAGCAGACTGGAAAAATAAAGATTCCAATTAAAAATAAGCAGAAAGTGTCCGTCATTTTGATTTATGGTTTTTCATAATTTGCAGACAGATTTTTAACTAGTTAATCATCTTGTAACAAGTAACCAATCTCTGTGACATTTTCATGGATAATATAAAATATGGCGGAGTGAGAGGGTGGTGTTAATTTTTTTTTCCCCCTTGATCTATGCACATACTTATAAGGCAAACACAATGAACAAGCCTCTCCATGTTTTTTATATCAATTTATACCTTTTTATTTTCCAATATAAATCTTTAGCATTTATCATGGCCTGAAAATGGCACATTCATTTTTACTTCTATGCAATACAATCAACACAGATAATGACAACAGTTCTGTACATATGCTGGTGGAAATTGGTGAAATAAATATCTCTTAAAGCTGGGTGCTGTGTAAACCTTAAGTGCTAGTGGTGGCTTTTTATTTTGTTGCTTTGTTGGGTTTTTAGATCTCTGAGTCTATTGAACATCTCACACAGGGAATTCTCCCTTTCTGTGCAGGTCTGAATGGCAGTCAGTCGTCCGTAAATGCAATGGCATCCCAGCCCGATGACTCAGCCACCACAGGCCTGTGCTGGATTCCTGTGACGTCATTCGCTAGCTGTACCGCTACCATGACAACGAGAATTTCTAAGAGCAGTCTTATCCCCAACCCCCCCTCTCCCAACCCCACCTCGATGAGCAGATGAGCGGGCCAATCTCTGTCATGTATATTGCAAGAGAGACTCTTGGGACCCATGTCTGGTTGAAATACATGAACTGTGTGAGACTGTGAAGTGTCCCCTCTGCAGGTCAGCTGGGTGTTTCATGGGTTGGCCATCACAGGCTGCTGGATCTCCTGTTCCTCCACATCTTCTGTCACATGGCTGCCAAAGCCACTGTCTACGGTGGCATCTGATACAAAGGCAGGCAGATAAAATGGAGGTCAGTCATTACATGACAGCAGAGATAGAAGGGGGTATCATAGTGGCAGGATGTGAAGTGGGTACTGATGTTAGACAAAAGGTCTAACGGGGTGAGATCATATTCACTGCACTAGAAAGCTGGTGGTTACCTCCCCTGTTAAGGCTGGTTCATATTTTATAAGAATGTGGCAGCGCTATAGCGCATGCAGCGATGGTGGCGTAATTTCCATTCTAGAGACCAGCCTTGGAGACCGCATAGGGGTGCCGCAAGGGAGGGCACATACCACTCGAAAACTGAAACACTGCAGCTGGTCCTTTTAGTGGTGCAAACAAGCTTCGATCGTTCATTGGCCAGGGGAACAGTAGCAGGTAGTCAGAAAGAAAATAGACCCAAGATTGTGTATAAACACCTTTTCTATCCTCTATGATCAGCATGATAACAAAACTGGCGAGCGGGTGTGAAGAATGGTTGACTGAGAAAGTCTAGAAATACCGGCATTTATATGATTCCTTGCTAAAGGATTCTAAACACTCCCAGATGGCTATAAACTAAAATAAAATGCATTTGTATGGCAACGCCATATACCTGTAAATGTCCCTGCATTAGTGTTATCGTCGTTTGTTTTATCGTTAAAAATTGAAAATGATATAAGAACTATATTATTTGAAATCCAGCTTAGTTTTCGGCATGGTATTTTAAAGATGTATATGTTTTGTTTTTATATTTTCTAGTTCCAGTTAAAGTTTTAGTAATTTCATTTGGATAAATGGATAGACGGAAAGTTGTAGGACTCAGCTAGCTACTGTAAAATGTTGAGATGTAGTTGGCTATTTCCACAAATCATTACTTTAGTTAAAATGGTAATGGAAAGTATTTGACATTTGTTTTTAATTTATTTCAGTTTGTTTTGGAAGTAATAGGTTTTGTTTAGTTTATTTTTTTATTATATTTTTATTATGGCTTTTTTCCATTACAAAAAAAGATCACAAAATACAAATACAGAAGAAAGAAGGAGAGAAAAAACCAAACCCCAACCTGTGAACAGTCTGGATTGATAGCTACTATATATTTATCCCGTGATTTATCAATATTTCAGTCCTCATCCTGTCGCAGAGAACAGAAACACAGTAAATTTTTTCCATTTCTCCAGACCTTGGTCCTCTTGAATTCTTATTTTGTGAATTAATTGCTCCATGGTATATGTTCCATCTACAGTACTATGTCAAACCATTTGTCTTGTGTTAGTGGTTCTGGCTTATCTTATTAAGTTTTTCCAACAATATTCTCGCCAAATACATGAGGATGAGGTAGAATGTTGGGATCTCCAAATATACAACCACTTGTCCTCAGAAATATTTACCCCTAATTCCTCTTCCCATTCCTGTTTTACATATAATATTGTATTGCCTTTCCTTTCCATTAGTTGCTGATATAAAGCAGATATTATTCTGTATTTCTTAGAGTTGTAGGTTCCTATTATAATCCTAATTATGCCATTTCTGTCCAAATTTACTTTTGGTTTTACTTCCCTGTCATAAAAATCCCTTAGCTGCAAATATCTAGTGTCCTGGTTACCCAATGTCCCAGTCCTGCAAATATCTGATCCTGGTTACCCGAGGTATATTTCTGTTTCATCTCCTGATAGGTCATAAAATTTCTATCTTTCATTACTGTACATAATGCTGTTATTCCACTTATCATCCATTGTTTAAATCTCTGATCCAGTGTATTTGGAATAAAATGCTTGTCATAAGCTACCCATCGAAGTAGTTGAGTTCTCCCTCAAGTTTATATTTCTGCACTATATTAAACCACAAATTAAATGTAAACTGCGTGATAGTATCCATTTTCGCAAGCCAGTCTTTTGCCTCATCTCCATCTCCAATGAAACTCTGAATTTCCCTCCCTTTTTATTGCTCTAAATTTTTCCATTTCGCTTCATAATCCTTAGCACACCAGCAAATTACAGGTCTAAGTTGTGCCGCATGGAAATATTAAAGTCCGGCAATGCCATACCTCCTGCATGTTTCCCAAGCTGTAAGGTTACATATTTGACCCTTGGCCTTTGACCATTCCATACTTTGACACCCTTTTATCCCAGGTTGTAAATTGTTTCTCAGGTATCTCGATGGGCAATGATTGAAATAAATAAAGAAGCCGTCGAAGAATGCACATCTTTATCACTTCTATTCGTGAACTAAAATCCAATGAAAGGACATCCCACCTCTCAAGATCGCTTCTAATTTCTTTATCCATTTGGATATAATTGGCTTTATATAGTTCATCAAAACCTCTTGTTAAGGTAACCCCAATATATTTAATTTTAGTTGCACTCCAATTCAATCTATATTCTTGCTGTATACTTTTGGAAAGGACATAATTTAATGTTAGAATCTGTGTTTTAGTCAAATTTAACCTGTATCCAGAATAGGTACCAAACATCTCGAGTTGAGTCAGTAATATGGGAAGGCTTGTACCAGGATCTTCTAAATAGCAAATTACATTGTCAGCAAAAAGCCCAATAACATGTTTTTCGTCCCCAGCTGTTATCCCTTTAAGATCCTCATTCTGCCTAATCAATTGTGCCAAGGGTTCTATAAAAATTGCAAACAATGTAGGCGATAAGCAACAGCCCTGTCTGGTTGACTGTTCTAGTTGTATACTCTCAGTCAAATTGCCATTAATTTTAATCTTCGTGGTTGAGCCTTGATAAAGTGTCCTAATACATCAAATGTCCTTCTCATTCAGTCCAAACTTCTCAAGTACCTGATATAGAAAAGCCCTATTAACACTATCAAATGCCTTTTCAGCATTAAGGCTTATTAGGGCTGCACTTATTTTATTGCGTCTAATATGGTCAATAATATGCAAGGTCCTCCTAATATTATCTTGAGTTTGCCGTCCCTTAATAAAACCTGTCTGGTCTGATCTATGATGTCACTCATAAAGTGTTTGTATCGGTTTGCTATAATTGAGGTGTACAGTTTATACAGTTTACAATCTACATTAAGTATTGATATGGGTCTATAACCCGAGCATGTCTCGCTGTCATTCCCCTTGGGAATCACCGATATTACTGCTTCCTTCCAGGATGGTGGGAGTTCACCATACTCAAGTGTATGATTAAATGATGACTCAAGCATTGCTATAAGTTGTTCACTGAATGTTTTGTACCATTCAGGTAGACCATCACTGCCAGGGGATTTATTTGTTTTCAGTCTACTTACTGCCTTTTTTATTTCAACTTTTGTAATGGGTGAGGTCAGGAGTTCATTCTGGTTCTTCCCAATCGCTGGTAAATCCAATGTTTCTAGAAACGCTCTCATCTGGTCAATGTCAGCTGACGGAGGCTGGCTATACAAATTCCCATAATAGTTCATAAATTTAGTTTCAATCTCTTTAGGTTCATAAATCATCTGGTTTGTAATTATAACTCTTATTTTATGAATTGTCCTATCAGCCCCGTTGTTTATCTTCTTGCTAACAGTCTGGTTGCTCTAGGCCCTACTTCATAATAGGATTGTTTCAAAAATCTTGTCTTCTTTTCAATTTCTGTATTTAATATTTTATCAATATTGTTCCTAATTTCTTTAATTTTAGGAAGTAACGAAGGGTCACATGCGCTCTTATGCTGCTGTTCAGTTTCGGACAGTTTCTCCTTTTCCTCTTTATATGCTTCCTCTCTAGCTTTTTTAATAGCTGCTGTCTTAGCTACAGTATAAACTTTCCCCTCAAAACTGCTTTAAGAGCATCCCACAAAATGATTGGATTCACCTCTCCATTATCATTTTCAGTTTGATAAATTTTTATTTCTTCTTTTATGTTTTCGACAACTGACTTATTATTTAAAATCCCAACATTTAACTTCCACATTCTTTTTTTCTCCTGTGGTTTTAATTGGACTTTTAGATCCAATACATCCGCTCCTTCTATCTTCCTATTCCTATACTCAATATATATCCTTTTTATTCACAAAAAAATAATCAATCCTAGCATAGCTATCATTTGGGGCCGAGTAGTGCATATAATCTCTTTTAGAGGGATAAAGTTCTCTCCAGATGTCAACTATATCAAATTCTTTAAATGTTGTTCTAATCATTTTAGTAACATGGTTAATATTTTTCTTATTGTTTGTTGTGTCTAGTTTATTATCCATCACAATATTAAAGTCACCCCCACATATTAAAATACCATCCATTTCCAAAATTATGTGGTCAAGCAAAGTTTTAAAAAAACATTTCCTACTATTTGGTGGAGCGTATACATTTCACAATAATAAATCTTCCCTCCTTATCACTGAATACTTTAGTATATTCAAATTTCACCAAGTTGGAAATCAGTATAGTCACACCTAATCGTTATCAAAGTAAAGCCGCTTGCCCTCAATTTCAATCTTCTGCTGCCAGGATTTCCGTAGGACCAACTCTTTAATGTGGAACTGTAAGAAGTTCACTACTATTGATCTCGGGGAAGAGGTCACGGCTGGCCGTGGGACCAATGCTCTGTGTGCCCGCTGTATTTGTAACTCTACACCATCTGGCAAGTCAAGTCGACTTTTAAACAACTTGCTTACAAAATCAATTACTGACCTCTCCTTTTTTCCTTCTGGTACGCCATAGATACGGAGATAATTTTTCTAGAGAGGCTCTCCAAAACAACTATCTTCTCCTTCATCTCCGCATTGTCTCTCAATACTGTTAGCAGTGTGTCTTTCATTTCCAAGCAGGCCGATTCCAGGTCTTTTATCTGTGTTTGCGCCTCAATAATGCTAGCCTTTTGACTCTGCAGTTCCTGTAAAACTTCGTCTCTAAACTGAACGAGATCGTCCTTCATTGTTTTCCTGACATCATTTTTAAATTCGCTCAGGTCCCTTCTCAAATCTTGTTTAAAGTCTATCAGCTAATTATAAAGTATCGTCAGACCTTCAAGTAATGCGCCATCTTTGATGCTGTTTCTTCACCATTCCCATGCTCACCATTAGCCATGTCCGAGTTTTCTTGAGTTTTATTCAAAGTTTTATCATTCTTATGACTCCTTTGTGCTTTCCCCCTTTCATTCTCGAGTTTAGATGATTTCAAAACTACTTATATTTATAGGGGGTATTTTACCAAAACCAACTCTGAGGAGCTCGCCTCTACACGTCCATCTCGCTGCAGCGCCACTGGAAGTCCCAGTTCATTTTTGTATCTTATTTCAGTTCACAAAAATGTTTTTGTTAATGATAAAAACCCTGCCCTGCATACTGTAAGGACACATTGTATGATTAGTTTTAATAAAATTTGTATTTTTAATGTAACGTCCAAACCACGCTTCATAAACATAACTTCTAAGGGCAGCTTTGCTCTATAGCGCCACCCCAGGCCTGCCATCAAAGCACATGGCTACCTGGCGTGGTGTAAGAACATTTGGCATTGTGGACAGTTCAGCATTACAGTGCGCTTGCTGTTGCAGGGCTGTGTCTGCATGAAGTATGAACCAGGCCTTACCCATTACAAGCTGCCACTCCAGCATAAACATGTAATAATGCAGCCATGCTCATCCTACCTGTGCTCTGGGCCTTGTCCCTCAGCTCCGTCTGTCTCAGCAGCTTCACTCCCTCATTCAGACCCAATGACTGCAGGGCCTCCACCAGAGTCTCCAGCTGACCACCGCCCAACTGCATGAAAAAGGAGAGAAGTGACCGGTGAGCATGCTCATTGAGGACACAGGTCCAGGTGACCGGTGAGCATGCTCATTGAGGACACAGGTTCAGGTGACCGGTGAGCATGCTCATTGGGGACACAAGATCAGGTGACCGGTGAGCATGCTCATTGAGGACACAGGTTCAGGTGACCGGTGAGCATGCTCATTGAGGACACAGGTTCAGGTGACCGGTGAGCATGCTCATTGGGGACACAGGTTCAGGTGACCGGTGTGCACGCTCAGTGAGGACACAGGTGATGTCTCTCAACATGCATACTTGACCGTATTTGTGTTCTCATGTACCTATTTTATGTGACCTTCCATTGCAAAAGACGAATTCTAATACTCAAGAACAGAAGTACAGAGGACGGTAATAATACCCAGATGACGTTCTTGCCCAACCCCAAATATCAAGGATACATTGGTTGCATCCTCGCCAAATGAAACCAATCCCACGATTAACTGCGGCCCAAGTTCATTCTTGGGAGAGAAGTTAGCAAGACTGGTCTTGCTAAGACCACAAATACGATCTCTGCGTTCTTGGTATTGAGAAACACCCAGGGTCTGCTGGCTGAGAAGCATGCTCAGTAGAGACATAAGATCATGTTACCAATGAGCATGTTCTGTACATTTCAAAATAAATTTAAAAATCAGTGTTTCTCAAACTTAAGTGGCCAAGCATCACACAGGTGATAAAAAAAATTACACACACAAAAGCTCAGGAAATGCCATGTGTAGTATTGTGTTATCTTTAACCCTCTGGGGTCTAGGGGTAGGGAACACACTTTCACTGACTGGGGCATGATCACACATTTCTTTAATACGCTGCATCGCCGACGATGCACTCAACCCCAGGGGGTTAAAATATATTAATACACCTGAAAACTATTAAGAAAATGAATTTTATATATCAAGTAATTCACATTGATTTTCATTTTAAATTTCTTATTTTTTTTTTTGCCGGGGGCTCCAGTTTCCTCCCACGGTCCAAGCGCGTGCAGGATAGGTTGATTGAGTCTAAATTGGCCCTGTAGTTGTATGAGTGTACGTGTGAATGTGTGTGCCTTGCGGTGTGTTGGCAACTGCGCAGGGTTGGTTCCTGCCTGCGCCCATTGTTCCCAGGATAGACTCCGATTCCCCCCAGTTGGGACTGAGCGGTTTCAGAAAATGGATGGATTTTTTTCAGTGCGCACAGCAAATTACCCTGGTCTTTTTCCATACCACCTGGGGGTGCCCTGAATACCACTGTTGGTGTGTTCCACAGTTTGAGAACCACTGTGTAGAAGCAGTGCACATTTGCAGTTCTTCACACACTCAATTATAAAATGTTATTGTGCAGCCAAACATACACCACAGTTAAGGCTGGCTAGCATTACCTAAGGCAGTGTCACAGTAAGACAGGACACTAAAGCCCACCTGGTAGTTCTCCAGCAGGTGCTGGCAGGGTGAAGGACTCTCCTGGTATAGGTCGGCCAGTGTGAGCATGCCCAGCTTCTCAGCCAGCTGCCGCAGTGGCACATTGGCCTGGCTCAGAATCCCACAGAGTTTGCTGAGTGTCTCGATGTCCATCTGTGGTTTTGCTGTAGGGAAAGAAGCGGTTAGAGGCTGCAGAGAGGCCTGCCAGGCACAGGGGTCAGGAGCTGTGCAGACAGAGGCTGCAGAGGCCTGCCAGATACAGGGATCAGGAAAGGAGCCATGCAGGAAGAGGCTACAGAGAGGCCTGCCAGGCAAAAGGGTCTAGAGCTGTGAAGGCAGAGGCTGCAGAGGCCTGCCAGATACAGGGATCAGGAAAGGAGCCATGCAGGAAGAGGCTACAGAGAGGCCTGCCAGGCACAAGGGTCTAGGGCTGTGTAGGCAGAGGCTGCAGAGAGGCCTGGCAGGCAAAAGGATCAAGAGCCATGCAGGCAGAGGCTACAGAGGCTGTGCAAACAGAGGCTGCAGAGATGCCTCCTAGGTACAGGGGTCAGGGGCCGTACAGGCAGAGGCACTAGCCAACTGTCCAAAATTAGAAATTCTTATTAACAATAATCTCCAGACATGATACATACTAAAATTCTATTAAAAACAGTGGATCTGTTACACCAGCTGCTTAAGCAAAAACACAGTAATATGACAGACTGTCAGATCATATCATTGGAACTGGCCTCATTAAGCTGCATGTCTTTCTCTCACCTTCCTCCTGCTTCTCGCTGGGCTTGGCGACTTCTCTGCTAGGCCTGTCGCTCTCTCTACTGTCCAGAATTGCTCTTACCTGCCACAAGGGGGAGCTCACATTATTCAAGCTCTTGAAATGAAGTACAGGATGTATAAACAAAAACAAGGTGCCCAGGTCACAGTTAAGGAGCAGAGAAGTTTTGAGTATAGATATAAAACTTCTGTTTAATTGCTTCTAGATTCTGAGACTCAATTTCAGATTAATAATGCCAGGAAATGGGGCGGGTTCCTCACCTTCTGGCACCTGGCCAGGTCTAAGGGGGTATGGCCTCCAGCTCTCTTGCGGGGGTTCTTTGGCACCTCACTGGGGGACGATGCTATCTGCTGTTGCATGCTCATCTCTTCTACAGCCTCATCTTCCTTATCGTCGTCTTCCTCATCAGAGGAGCTGAGGAAGAGGGGCTCATCATTCTCTAGGTCCTTCCTGGCGCCTGAAGGGGGGCAAATGCAGAGATCAGTAGCTGGTTTCGAACCTGAGCGCTAAGCTGACCTACAATTGACTACTGAAGCAAATCGGCAAAGGGCACAGGAGGAAGACCACGGTATGTTTCCTGACTGTGAGTGGCCCACCTGCAGCAACGAGCATGGAGCAGAGTGTGGGGGAGCCCAGGCTGGCTGCCAGGTGGAGGGGTGTGTTCCCGCAGAATGTGCTGGCATTCACGTCGGCCTTCAGCTGCAGATGGAGAAGAACAGCGACGGTAAACTTTAGGGTGTATTTTTTAACATATACTTGATAACCTCGAAAAAGGAAAAATCACTAAAGCTGTGCAGTTTTTCTTTTCCTACGACAGAGTAGTAATTTTTTAGCAAAACTTAAGGATGGTCTCAACTCAGCTGACTAACACGGTCCTTGTGATGTGACGGTTGCATATGCATAACATGTGATGTTGGAATTAACATGATCAGGCAGCCCTAAACAGTAGCACCCTGGCAGTGTTACCTGGCCAGACTGTGAGCTTGGTGAGGAAGTTCTGAGGTTCTGACACATACCTCTGTGATGAGCATGCAGGCCACCTTGAAGAGGTTCTCTCTGACGGCGATGTGCAGTGCCGTGTTGCCGCTCTTCAGCTCAGCAGCATTGACCCGGGCACCACAGAGCACCAGCGCCCGCAGGCAGCGCTCGCCCCCCTTCTTCACAGCCAGGTGCAGTGGGTGGAGCCCTGGGGGCAAACGACAGACATGTCACGGGAACGGAAACCGGGATAGGAAGGAAGGGTGTGATGACTGCTTGGCTGCATTCTCGGCCCCGTACCATGGTAGTCGGCTGTGTTGAACAGGTGGCTGTAGTTCTCCTTTAGGTGGGTGAGGAGGACGCGCAGCACAAACTCGTCACCGATATCCGCTGCCAAGTGCAGCACCGACCTGCCATCCCGGTCGACCAGGGTGGGGTCGGCCCCCGCTTTCAGCAAGCAGTCCAGCACCTTGTGCTGCTTTGTTATGACTGCAAGGTGCAGGGGAGTCTGTGGGATGGACACACAAAGGACTCTCACTGCTTCACAGGGGCTGGTAACGCTACAGCGCAGTGCTGCGAGACAGACAGGGACCCTGAGGGCAGAGCTGGCCCTGCTTACCTGGCTCATGTGATTGCGGATGTTGAGGATCTGCTGCTGGGGAATGGTGCTGATCATATACACCAGCTGCTGGACCACCGCAGGCTGCTGGTGAATGATGGCCAGGTGCAGGGGCCTGGGACATCAAACAGGTAGAGCTGACCACAAGTGGAGCTTCCAGTCACAGAGAGGATCAGTGATGGAGCTGTTTAAGGCTGATATTCTAGGTCTCAGGACAGAAGCTTGTGCTAGTGGTTGTGGGGTCAATTCAGGTGCTTGTGCCGGATTGTAAAAAGTAAAATGGTAAAAAAGAAAAAAGAGTTGGCAGAATAAGGTAATGATAAGATACTGGCTCCTAAGTATGAGGTAGGTTAGTGCGGGCGTGCTGCATCTGCCTTGCAACGCAAGGGACTCACGTGTCTCCATTCTCATCCTGCACGGAGTAGAGCTGCCTCTGCACGGCCAGCAAGAGGCAAACGTCGCCCGTGCTGCAGTAGTCCAGTAAGGCTCTGGCGGTACGCCGGGCTGTCTGAGTGGCGCGATTCTGCAGCATGGAAGCTGTAAGGGGAGGGAGGGGTGGGACGACGTGTGGTCTTAGTGACACCTTTGCCAAAACGGCTGCTACTTCACTCTTGGATCAGTAATGGAGGTGGACCAGACACGTCCTGGGTCCTGCGCCCCAGCCCCCCCTTCTGCCCCTGGAGGCTCACCAATCTGAAGCAGCTGCTGCTGCAGGGGCGGTCCTCCTGGTGGCACCCTGCTGCCCTCCTGCCGGTCGGCGGGGGTGCTGGGGGCTGGCACCGAGGCTGCCATGCGTGTACCATTGCCCATGAAGGTGCCCATGGTGCTGAAGCCCATGTCCAGCTGTGGGTTAAAGGGGAATCCGCCTGGGAGGGAGGGGGGCAGGGAGAACTACATCAGCTTCAGCTGCAGGCCTGCTGACTGTGACATTACGACCTGTTTCAGGAGGCCTATTTTTATGATTAATTAGTCACCTGTTAAGAAATCTGCTGTCACCCATGAATCAAAGCCACAAATCTAGACAGTCAGCACAAAAATCATCCCCTAAAAGCTCACACAGCTGCGGTTTCTTACCGTTTCCTCCTCTACCTGATCCTCCGAAGTTCCCCGGTCCTCGGCCAGTCCCGGCAGCCCCCCCAGGGGGCCCATTCCATGGGTCAAAGGAGTGAGGGAGGGGCTTCTTTTTTTTGCGCTGAACTTCCTCCTTGTCTGATGCCGGCATGAGAAAGACACACAGAGGACATGATGTTCAAAACTGACAAGAAACATTATCAGGTTTTATTGGCTTTTTGACAATTTTAGAATTTTTAAGGTATGTGGCATAAAAGGATCCATAATTGCTTACAAAGTAGCCATCAACATTATTAGCCAATGATATATTTTAAACTATTGAGTAACTGGGGAGGGGGAACTCCAGGGACCAATCAGCTTTTAGCTGAAGCCAGTGCCCCTATGGCCCCGCCCCTGCATATGCCACCTGTGTACAGCTACCATGTGCAGTACACCGAGACTAAGGCAGCACTCTAGTATAGTAACTGGTTGAAAATATTGCAGTATCTCTCCCTTGAGTCGGCTTACCTTGCACATGCGGCACGTAGGTAAACTGCTTAGGCTCACTGCAGTCACTTCCCTTCCGCCGTTTCAGCTGCAGGAACACGGTGACAGGCCGCTCGATGTCCGGAGTGTGGTATTTGGGAGTCTTAAACACGATGGCGTACTGCGCGGGGAAGATGGTGTCACGCGGTGTCATTTTAGTTTTGATTTTTACATTTTTTAATGGGCAAAACATGTTTCAGGTATTTTTTATGGTAATTAAAGATAAATCGTTATTTTAGCTAAATAGTATTTAAAAACGGTAATGGAAAGTGTTTGACATTCGTTTTTATTTTAATTTGGTTAGCTTCAGAAGCAATATTTATTGTTTTCATTTAGTTGTAGTTATTTATTTTATTTTCCTATAATTTTATTTTATTTTATTTCAGTTTCTGAAAATTCTCTTATAGTTTTTGTTAATAATATCCATGGTGCCACAGCCACTTGGGTCCATGCTTCGGACTCACCTGTTTGTGGACGTCTGTGGGAGAGAAGTCACCAAAGTCTTCCCAGCCTCCCTCCTTATCCTCCTCAAAAAAGCGAATATCGATATCATCTGGGGAAAGAGGAGAAACACAAGTGAATTCATTATTGCTTACTGGATGCAAAGTACCCGTCTGCTGGGAATTCTGGGAAGTGTGATTCCTCAAGGGTTACAAAGAACTGCCAGAAAGTCACTGGCAGCGGATTACCTTTCTGCACCTTGTCACACAAAAGGAAGATCTCGTCTCCACCCAGCACGGAGCCGCAGGTCTTGTCCATGCGGGAGATCTTCAGGTTAGAAGCATTGGGCGACTCTGCAAAGACACCACAGTGTGATCATGTGACTCGCGATTCTGAGCAGATGAGTCTGTGTGCTGTGTGTGTCCTCTTGCTGCAGGACTCACTGCTGTCATAGATGGGCTTGGAGATGGCCGGCTTCAGGGCTCTGGTGTAATCCCCATCACCATCCGGCAGGTATGCCGTGAACTTCAGCCTCACCACATTCAGGTCCATCTTGTTGCCCAGCTCTTTGGCCTCCTTTAATATTTCCTGCTCTTCTGCGTCTGTTTTTAACATGACATTTTTAATTTGACCAAATCTGCATAACAAAACATTAGAACAGTGTATTACTAGAGTCACTAGAGTCAGTTCACTGTGTAATTTTTTTTTGGGGGGGGGGGGGGTTACCAGTGAAGTGGTAGTTTGGTCCCTTCTGCTTCAGCTTCTCCTCCCTAAGTCTCTTGGAGAGGACCTCAAGGACCCCTTTCTTTGTGATGTGGAGGATGCCCAGGTTGTTGAACCTTGAATGTAAGTCAGAATCAACAACAGTGCTTGTTACACCAAGAGCAACAGCTTTGATTACAGAACATTTCACTCCAGTGAAGGTGCCTCTCTTTGGGGGGACTCTCCATTCATGTCTATGGGCATAACCCTAACCTCTGCTATAACAACATTAACCCTTACTAGGTCCAGACCTTAACCATAATTAACCAAACAAAATATAAGACTTTTGGCATTTTTAGTTTTTTGATCTCATTCATAGATTTTCATTTAATTCAATCTCCCCTTGCAGTAAAAATAACACATTGTGAGGACATATGACCACACACGCACACGCACACGCACACACACACACACACACACACAGGTTTGTAATTATAGCTTTGTGGTGACTCTCCATTCATTTCTATTTGGAAAACCCTAATCCCAACATTATGACCTTAACGCCTACTCTGCTCTAACCATACCCATAAGTAATCAAACAAAATATGAGACTTTTGGCATTTTTAGTTTTTTGATTCCATTCACAGATCTTTGTGGGGACCTGAAAAATTTTATTTTATTAATGTGAAACCAGCTATTCTCCTGAATTTTTACTGAAACTGACTTGAGCTGGAAAAAAAAAATCTTGCTAGAAAGGCTAAACATTCAAGGTTTTTTTTTTTTTCTCCAAAAAAGAGACTTAACAAGCACACAGTAACTAATGCAGCGGGTGTGCTCTCAGCCCAGTGGAGGCACCAGACAGTCACATGATCATAGTCACACGGTCATCTTTGCGTATGCGGTAATAGTCACATGATCAGAGGATGACAGACAGCCTTTGGTGCGTCACTCACTGCGCCGTCAGGTCAGTGGGCCCCACTTCCATGCTGCACATGCCACTCTCGTTGCAGTGCTTGCCCACCAGGCTGTGTGCGTGCACCCGAGGGGGATCCATGTGCGTCACCAACTGCACCTCCACCCTGGCGTAGCCCATGTAGTTACACACCTGGAGGAAACCATCGCAGCATCAACCACCCAGACAGCAGGCTGCTCAACTCACCCTCCCGGGGCTAAAACTCATCTGCTTCTGATTGGCCGACCATCTATGGTGACGTGCCTCTCTGTCACAGCCTAGCGGCATGCAGCAGCAGTACCAGGCCACCTGGACGCACATGTTCAGACAGGGGTGGGCAGCGTACCTTGACTGTGGGGTAAGTCTTCTTATTCTTCTCACTGGAGGCGCCGGGCAGACCACCATGGGAGGGACCCTCGCACTCATAGCGAAATCGAAATCCCCTCTGGACAGAAGCAGTGATTTAATGGTTAATCCCCCAAAGTGGAGCCTGTCCATAACTTTCCAGGCAGGAGTCTCCCAGCTGACCTAGTGACGGCTGTAAGCAAGGCCCTGCTTGTTTGTCACATAATCTGTTTACATTTGACATGCAAACCCGCATAGACAGAAAGGCAGATCAGGTTGGCACCCAGTTTGCTTTATTAAGTAGTTATCCCATACTCTTACATAATGTACAAAAATGGTACCAAAGTGACCCCAGAATTCTCCTTGTGGTTCTGAATTGGACCACAAGGAATAGGCTTCGATCTTTTAAAACAGACAGATGCCACGCTCACCTGTTTGGGCTCCTCGATGATCTGTAGGTATGGCCCATTTGCTGTGGAGAACGAAAGGCACAGGGTCATTCTCGCAGTGATAGGCTACCTCTTAGATGTGCCCGGGGGTGGCACTCACCTGTCTCTGGCAGGTAAGGCTCGCTCTTCACGGACGGCATGAATGAGTACGGGAAGTCCATCATGAACTGCTTGCCGAGCGGAGCGGGGGAAACGGAAACAGCAGTGTGTGTTTCAGTGCAGCTACTGTACACTGACCTTATTTACACAGAAAGAGCTAAGCTGGAGATCTTCTGCTTGAAGCAAACTATCAGTTAAACTGTTAAAAAGTGCTGATTAAACAGCTAAAGGATCTCAAAACAACAACTGCCTAAAATCAATAAATCCCCGGTACTGGCAACAGACTTGAATATGTGTCCTTGTACTCTGCCTGGGGAACTACCATGTTTGACTCTTACCTCAGTTTCAATCATGTTGATGTTGTATTGATTTTCTTCCAAGCTGAGGGAAAAAGTGAAAAAAGAACAAATGTCACGATCGGTGTGCAGTGACTGAGCAGGTGATCACTGGGTCACTGGGTCGCAGTTGCAACAGGGCACGGGCCAGAGCAGCCAGAACTGCACACACCTCTACACAGCTGACATGTCCCGCGCTTATGAGACAGGTCTCTACTCCACAAGAAATGCTTCTACTTCACCTACATGTCTGGCACTAATCTTCAACCTTCCCTTTCAAAGCAGGACTAAGAATAAGAATAGAACACCAGATATCAATGATGCACAGCAAAAGGTGTGTGTAGTTTCCGTTCTCAGCAGATGGCTTAAGATATTGCTGCGGTTAATGTTTTTCTTTCTTTTTTTTTTTTTACTCTTTTGCTCTCTCTTTGTGTCACTTGTTTCCAGGAAACATATGAGCAAAAAAGCCAGTTAGGAAAGCCCCCAAAATACCAGAGGCCTCCGCAGTCACACACACACACACGCAAACACGCACCCACTGAGGTGGAGACCCTGACTGGGAGTGGCGCTATCCCCCATGGAAGGGAGAGGGCTTCCCAAAAACCCTTCCCCACAGTCCTCCCTTCACCATGAAAAGCCCTGAGTCTTATCAGTTTACGGCTCTCAGTAAGCAGTTCGCTTCACATCTGAGCCGTTTCTGCTCTCTTGACCGTCTTTTTCGGTGATACTTGTCCCATCCATTTTATTGTGTTTACTTCTTAGCAAAAAATGCTTTCAGAACTTTCAATGGACCATAAGAGCCTAACCACTATCTGTCACATACTGAGCCCAGTACCGTAAATCGAATTCTCATAACAGCCTGGAATAACCCCAAAGGGGCAAACCCTCGGCTTCCATTTCAGCTTACCTGCGAAACAAGAGCAATTTTGGCAATTCTAAGGAATTTCACAGAATGAAATCTGCATAACCACGCTTTACTATTACACTTATATTTATACATTTTACATTTTTGGTTATTTTTTCGCGAGAAAAATATCTGCACAGACTTGTCCAAAGAATAAACCAGATGGACATCTTGAAACAAACTGCTGATTTAATTAATGCACTTTCAGGGTTTATGTAAAAATAATAGCACATGTTCACACACTAATGTACTTAGGAGCGCAGAATTTTAAGGCCAGTTTGAATGATTGTGCTGTCAGGTTTCAGCAGCTCCCCATTGATGAAAATTTTGAGTATATATCAGCAGATAAAACTGGTGACTACCTTAGAAAGAAGGTCATGGTCATTACATAGCCTTCTCTGTTTGTTAAGCATACAGATAAAGGTGATTTGATTGTGTCTTGGGCATGTGTGTTCTATCGCATCTCTGAGGGAACATCAGAGTTCATGGCAACCAGGAACTAGAACCTCTCATCTTACAGCCCGTCTGGACGCTGTAACCCCGTCGAGTCCAGAAAGGTCTCCCAGTTTGGGGCTCTAAGTGCCGCTTGAAATGCCCATGATACCCTGTCACGAAATGTCCTGGTGTCCAGGAGCACAGGAAAAGCTTCCTCTGCACCACAATGCAGGGTCACCCTCACTCATCCAGCCAAATATCCACAGATTTAAAAGCACATCCAGTTCTGCTCTGGGAAAGTCAGGGCATCTGCCAAGGTATCTAAGAGGAAGTAAATCTGTCAAGAGTGAAGATGCATATTACAAACTGACTTTATAGTGTCACGGCACGTTAATAACTGGGTGACAGGCATCAGGAGGGCAGCAACAAAAAAATGAAAAATGAATCAGAGAAATACCCTCATAAGTCTACAGAGCAAGATGCAAAGTTGTGAAAAGGTTCATATAAGTCTGTTCAGTCATCTTCAGTTTTCAGAAACAGTATTGAATTACTTTTGTAAAACGGTACCAGTTTATGGGAAATAATATACATTACAGAGATAATAAGTGATAAAATATAAATAATAAAGCTTTCATTTTGTTCCTAGTTTTTATGAAAACTGTGATCTTGAGGACATAATAAGTCCGTGTCTGATAAAATCAACCTTTCGCTAACCTGACATCTTCCATTCAATGCATTCTTTATCTTGATGATTTTCTAGTAATTTGAGTACAATCCATGACTGGTTTCCACTAGAATGATGCAACTCTGTGCAGTTATGTTTTGACGTGAGAAAGTCTTGCTTTGAACAGAAATGATGTCATTATCATTCCCAGCAGCAGGGCTGACGTGGTAAGTGTTCTGACAACACGGAGAAGAATGTACTCTGCGATTCTCATCACTTGGCCAAAATAACAGAAAATCAAAATCTTTTTCCTTTTCTACTGTGGTCATGCCTAGATGCCATATTTTCTGAATTCATTCACATTTCAACAGCGAATTTTTTTTTTGGTTGTTAAATTGCCTGTGGTTAAATACCTGCTCGATTGTTTTTGCTTTAGAGATTTTGCGGGGTAACATACTGGCCTTAATATAAGATTTTTTCGTCTCCTTTTCGTGCGTGATTTGCAAGAGAATCAACCAGCCTTGTTAAACTGTAAATTATCACTGTGGGCTTCATTTTTATTAACGGAACATAACCTATGCCTTGTATTTTGGAGAAATCCTAGGAACATAAACCGTGCACCATACAGTGTGCGTTTGTTACTGTTGTCATATAAATGGATTTTCAGCGATCCAATTCTGCGTGGTTATACTAATAAAACCCCACAAAACTTTCAGAAACCTCAGCCATATACATTGCAAGCCCATTCTTCTATGCCCTGTGACGTTTCTGACATCCACAAGACAAACATTATCAAGCTTAATCACCAATTTCTTAACCGTCACTCAACCAACCCACTAACCACAGAGGGTGCACACGTTTCTACGTCAATGAAATGAACAATCTTGTCATATTATGAGCTGCCACGGATGACCAGGCTATATTACCACGTCCTACAGATTGCGCAGAAATATCTGAATAGCAACTTTCTTAACTGTAAGCAGAATGAAAAATAAAAAGTGAAGTGAAATACAAGTGCTGAGTTAATGACCTGTCACCCATCTTCCCCTCATGTGCTGCCTTCCTGTAACCCAATTTCAGCATATGCAGCTGCATAGCTGCTGTTTTTTCTACTAATGGTGAATATTTAAAACATGAAAGACTCAGTAGAGATGATTTAGTAAAATGCACATACCTCATTGTACTGGACATGGTTCCTGTCACAGGCTGTGCTTTCAGACTGACGGCGCTCTGAAAGATGCAAACTTATTTAGATCGCACACTCATGTCATTGTAAATAATCCCCAAATCTGTTTCGGAAATAACTGCGAACAGTCCCTGTCGGCTCTCCTGACAGTACATAGCAATCTTCCCTCCCACTCCCAGCGCGTAGGGAATTTCCGATCAAGCTCTTCAGCTCTGCAGTAACATTGGGCTTTTGCATTGCGGATGCTCCAGACCCTTGCAGCCATGGAACGGCCAGAAGACTCCCGTTTCCAGAGCCCCACGTTAGCCTATAACGAATGCTGCTTTGCTTACAGTGCAATCGATTCTCGTTTTTGTACCAGTACATCTTCGTAAAGGGAGCGTTTTCTTCCCCTAGGATAAATACACAAGTTTATATGCCAAATGCTTCGCCAAAAAGAGATGAAGACCCTCGGCGTAGCATTTCTTTGTAATGAGTAATCGGTTTTTAAAACTCGTTGGCACGCCACCGATCCTCTTTCGAACGTCCAAATTTAGCACTTCTTTCACTTCTATTGACAGACTGAGGAGATAAATGTAAATAGTCACTCAAGCCCTACACCCGTACGTGTAACATCTATAATATTACTAAACTATATATTATATATATAAATATATTTATATATAAAAAACAGTATAACTATTTTCTGACCGAAGGAACGACAAAATATTATGTAAGTGGGTTAGTCTCGAGAAGCTGTGTTAAAGCATATTCTTTAATAACTGCAGAGGAAGTCATAACACTTTTTATGTATATCCATTAGCAAAACATTTTCTTACCTTCACTAGGTTTTGGAAGAGGCCGACTCGTCAATATCTGTAGCAATAATGGATATTATTGAGACGCAAAATGAAATCCTAGTTTTGTTCCATCAGAATTTCCCTACTCAGTTATCCGAATAGCCAGTATGCGGGTTATTGTCAATCGAAATGAATGTTTCTGTTGCACAATTACCCCTTCTTGCACTTCGGCATCAAATGGAAATCCCCTGACAGGGGAATTCCGTGGGCATGAACGTCAAGAGTGCTTGTAGCTCATTGGTTTGAGCGATCGTCAATTACATAAGCCCCGCCTCTCCTTAAACACCAATGTCTGTACAAGAACTTTTCACAAACCGGTGTACACCATGTACGCTCTCGCAGGCGGAACTCACTATAAGGCTCTAAAGATATCTGGAAAGACATAATAGTATATTTGAAAGAATATGTAATATATACGTAAAAGTTCTTCAAATGGAAATGTCTTTGAAGTACTCCGTAAATAAAGTTCTTCCATTTTTCACGTTCATCTTGAGAAATACAATCTAGTACTGAAGGAGATATTACATGTTAAAATAATTACAGTGTGTATTCTATTCACCAAATTAGTAAGGAATTATTATTTATTAGTCAAAGTAGAAGTAAAAAAAAGTAAAAAATATGGAATCAGAATCCCAATACAATCGCAAAAAATTAAATATTAAATAAAAGGGGATTATTAGACAACATATAAATGAAAGCAAACAGTCACAGCGAGTCACAGTGAGTCACAGCGAGCCTGGAGCCAATACCAGGTGGGACTGGGTACATGAAATGCAGGATAATAAAAACATCATCAACGCTGCAGGGTGAAATCCAGCAGGAGGAGGTCGTGGGCAGTGGGGATGCTGTTCTCATCACACTGGAAGTGGCTGTAGATAGTCAGGGATGCGGTGCAGTGGGGATCGGAGAGCAGAGAGCAGAGTGTCTCAGCCACCACCTGGACAAATGTTCTGTCTGAGGCAGGAGCTGTGGAATGGAGGAGCTGGTTAGACAGGGACACCCATTCTACCACCACACTAAAATCCGACATACTAGCTGGATTACTGACACTAGTCCCCAGTAGTGAAATGTCAGGCGGACACAGAGCAAAGAAGTGAATGACCAAGGGGCGCTCACCCACGGCCTTGTTCAGCTTCTCTGGGGGAACATCCTGCAAAATCTTCTGCACCAGTACAGAGGGCACCTGGATGCCGACCTCTCTCTCCCCCTCCCTCACAGTCATATGGGCAGGCCTGGGTATAGAGATGGATAGGCATATACAGGGCGCAGGAGAGAGACATGGGAGGGCACAGATAGAGGGCAGGACAGGAGAGAGACACGGGAGGGCACAGACAGAGGGCAGGACAGGAGAAAGACACGGGAGGGCACAGATAGAGGGCAGGACAGGAGAAAGACACGGGAGGGCACAGATAGAGGGCAGGAGAGAGGCACAGGAGGGCACAGACAGAGGGCAGGACAGGAGAAAGACACAGGAGGGTACAGACAGAGGGCAGGAGAGAAACACGGCAGGGCACAGATAGAGGGCAGGAGAGAGACACGGGAGGGCACAGATAGAGGGCAGGAGAGAGACACGGGAGGGCACAGATGGGGGGTAGGACAGAGAGATGTGGCAGGACATATAGAGGATTGGAGGGTTATGATGAAGTTATTATTAAAGTAAGCCCTCAGTGATCCCCTTTATCATCAAAGTCAATAGCAAATCATGGTTACTGGTTTCAGTTTGAGTATATTTTCAGGTAATATCACATATGGCACAGCAGGTGGTGCCAGCTAACCTATAGTAGCGGCGAACGGCAGTGTGGGGAAGGCATGGGTAACAGGACCGGTAGATCCCATTGGCATCAGTGGCCAGCTCAGAGCCACACTGCCCACAGCCGGTGAAGGTCACGTCCCCAGAGAGCGCTAACAAAATCCCCTCCAACGGCGTGTCCCCATTCAGTACTGGTGAGGCATCTTGGGAGGAGCTGCTTTGGAACTGGAAGCTCGTGATGTGACACCTCAGCTCCACGTCACCTGTCAGGCAGGAGGCCAGCCACCCATCAGGTCCTTGTGTGTAACCAGAGTCTCTCTACCGGAGCCTTTCTCCTGCTGTACCTCAGCATCAATTACGTCGGGCAAGGAGGGGGGGGGTGGTGATTTTACTGCCCCTGTGCTTGGCTCCAAGAATGGATTAGGGTTACCGACTTTCGACAGACATGCAGGCTGCTACAAGTGAGTATTTGCAGCATATATGACTGTTTGGTGCCAAGAAACTGTGACAAGCTCATGTTTGGTATTAAATTACACTGGAGCCTGCCAAAGAAGTGCCCTCATTCCAGACCCACGGGGCACATCAGTAGGCACTCACCTGTGTATTTCTGCGACAGAAGAGTCTGCAGGTCTATCTCAAAGCTGGCCAGGCCCAGATATGGCTGGATTGCACTACAGAACATTGTTGCCTTTTTATCGCCAGGAAAGAGAGGTTTGCAGGCACCCCAGGGTGTGGAGTGCAGGTCCAGATGGCCAGATATGTTGTTCTGTTTCACCAAAAGAACTCGGAAATCCCAGACTGCGTCTGGAAATGTCACAGCGAGTCACAACTGATCACATGACTCAGTATCCTGTATCACATGATTCAGTATCCTGTATCACATGATTCAGTATCCTGTTTCCCTCTTTTATATACAATACAAATACAAGCATGCAATGCAGATGCAAATATTCCTCAATCCATCCTGTAGAGCAGCACCTAGCAATGAGACGGGACTATAGTATACCCCCTATTTATAATTTCAGGAGTGGTTAGTGAGATGAATCAGGAAAGAATGACAACCACCCAAGATGACCTTCTTAAATCTGTTTCAGCAGAGCTGCTGGAAACCTAGTGCTGCTGCCCCTTAACTATGTCCCAGTGTCACCTTTGTTCCTTTGGATACGGTTTAGCCAGGTCATCGCGGCTCCCCATAGCACCAACTCCCCCTGCTGGCCATCTCCTTGCTCTACAGTCAGCGTAGCCTTCTGCACAGCTCCTGTCCGAGAGAAGCTCGCCGCCTCTGTGCGCCAAACTGAAGAGACAGTGGGTGACACGGCTGCCCTCCCTAATGCCTGTCTAAAGTGTGTACCTAAAGTGTGAATTAGTAGTGGCCATACTACTCAGTGTAATGGGCGTACCTTTGAACAGAGAGCTACTGATTACTCTCAGCACAGCGTGGACCAGTGTGTCTGGCTTCAGGGCCCTGAGGCGGGCATAAGGGATGTCCTGAGGGTCCTGGGGGACTCGGGCTGGGAGGGTCATCAGGGGGCGGTACTTCTCCCGCATGTGGGAGCAGAGCTCATCCAGAGTGTACTGACTGACACCCCACGGGGCTAAACGATGCAGAGACAAGCGTCACCGGTGCACTTGTGTCAGCCACACAGTGATGTCTAAAGCACAGAGTGAAAACTAACAAGATCAGGAACTTTAAAGGGGCCTAGGTGAGAATAAAAGCAGTGGAATTAGGAAGATCTGAGTCTGCGGTCTGGATCTACATCCCGTATGTTAGGCGTTATTTTCACATGGGTGAACTTAAAGATCATTTTCCATCATGAAAATTAAGTGCTCAATAAAAATTCTCTAGTGGTCTGAGACAGGCAGTCAATTTAACATTAAACACTAATTAATCACTGTCATCCATTTAAATTCCGTTTAAAATAAAGGCAGATTGAGTATGTATGTGTAAAGTAGAACAATTTCTGACATCACAAAGGAGCTGTAGAAAATTTGTGGAGACTTCACTCCTCACAAGGTGCCCAAAGACCGCACCTGGTGGCTGGTGGTCGCAAGTGAGCTGGCCCAGGTTAAGCAGCCTGCTGGAGCGTGTGGACTGCAGGACCACCTCCCCCCTCCACTTATCTTCATGGATGGTCACGCCTGCCGGGACAAACAGCAGTCTGACAGCGTTAGCACTGGTAATAATGCCCCTTCACTGGACAGGCAACATGAAACTAGTATCAACCCATCAAATCATCCACAAAGGAGAACCCATCTGAAGCAATACTGAAGCTGTTTTTATTAATGGAATAATATGCAGCAACACGTTGATGATGCGCTGATTAGGGACTGGTGAAAAGGTACCAGTTTATACCTGTAATCAGCAGCAGATCGCCTGGGTTCACGGTCAGGGCCCAGAATGCTGCAGATCTCCATAACACCACCTTCATCTCCACACCTGATTGGTCAGTGACCACAATGGTTGCCAGGGGAACCGTGGACCCTGCCCAGGCCCCTGACTTCACCTTAACCTCCTTCAGGTGACATGGGTACAGTACAACACCCAGGATGGAGCAAGGCGTTCTCCTGGTCACACAGTAGGCCAGGAGTGTGGTGGAGTCACAAGAGTTCATTCGCAGGCTCCTGTGTGATGACCCTGGCTGCTCCTGTATCCTTGCCCCACTCGGGGATGCTCTGCTCTTCTTGGAGGCTGGGGACACTGGAGAACGCTGACCTGAGAAGCTCACTGCGGCATCTGCGGCAGCGGGCTGTGCGTGGCCCGTTGCATCTGTAACTTCCCCTGTGGTTTTTGAAGGGGAGCTCTGGGAGCAGAGGATGCCGTCAGGTGTGGCCTCCAGTCCCAAGCCACCTTCTTCCTGTCTACTACTCAGAGTACTGAGGAGCTCCTGTGACCCCTTGTCAGTGCCCGGTCCCCCTATCTCACTCTCGCCACCTGCTGGGCTGTACAGCTCTGGGCTACTCTCTGGGCTTGTGGGTGGCCTCTCTGCCACTTCTTCTTTCTGCCCTGTTCCCAGTTTCCCTCTCAGCATAAGCACCTGGCTGATGGTCCAGACACTCAAGTACTCTGTCCCTGCAGACACTGAGCCACTGGGCCTCGCCCCCGCCTGGCCTGGACCATGCTCAGGGAAGCTGCTGTCCAAGTAATCACGGACTGCGCTGGGGCATAAGCCCTGCCCCTCGTGGTCTGCCCATTTTATTTGTGAGAGTGCAATGACTCTCTTTGAGGTGCTTCTGTCCGGGGGGTCGATGTTCAGTCGTCCTAATCCCTCATTAGTGAGCGTAACAGGATCCACCCCACCCTGCCCCCCTAGAATGCCGCCAGACTCATGTTGCCTGGGCTGCAGTCTCCCCCCTTCTAAACGGAGGTTCACAGTCCTCCATGGGCCTCGGTCTGGGTCGGGACCAGGCACGTCATCGAGAGACGGACCCGGGGCACCCAAGAAAACGTGGATAGTCGGCGCATCTGCCATGCTGTCATCACACTCCGTTGAAAGTCAAACAGGTATGAAGATGCTCTCGTGATGGAGTTCCAACTCAGCCACCTAAAACAAAAAATTCCAGTTCATTCCCAGCACTATCCACAATATAGCTGTGACATAAAGGAACAGTTGCTGAAGACATTGGCCCTGACAACCTGCTCCACAGACTTCAGTCATAGACTCAGGAGATCCATCCACACACAAAAGCACCGGGCAAACTTGTCAAAGTAATGGCTTCCTGTCCAGTAATCATAAGACAAGATAAACATTACTGATCCAGAAGAAAATTAAAGTACAGACAAACAAGCACATAGTGAGCATAGAATTGATTTTGTCAACCCCAGACATACCAGCAAGGGCGTTAACCAGTTAGAAATATTCAGCTCTTTGGTAACCTGGAGCATCATGGAAATTCCCAAAAGTCCAAAACCCAAAATATCTGCAGACAGGGGAGTAGCTAGACATTCTGTGCCCCCTGACTGAATGTCACCTTGGGCCCCCCAACCTCCATTTTATAATTATACATTTTTACGTATTTAAAGGCCCTTGGAAAGTGCTAGGCCCCCTGAATCTGTCAGGGTATCCATGTCCCACCAACCCCCCTACCTGCAGGAATTTCCCTGACCTGATGAAGATTCTTTAAACTTTTGCTGTTTAAGGTGAAGTAACTGCGGATGGTTGCTCTTATGTAACTTCTCATAAAACATGATAAACAGCCGTATGCTAAATTGACCAGCAGATGTCACTGTTTCACAAAAACCTCGAATCTTCCTCCGGGAAACTCTAGAGTTGGCTGTATGGTGACGTCATTGACATGGGGCACCCCTCCACAAGACAGCAGCTGAGCTAACAGTTACAGCAGGGTAGGAGGGCATTCCTGGTGTGAATTACAGCCACAGCCCAAGCCATTCGTGTTTTCCTTTATGGTAGCAATTGTATGTATACATACGTCAAACATTTAAATACTGTGTGATGGATACCAAAAACAAAGTTTGTGAGTTATTGCTTTCATGTAACACAACAAGAAATTTTTACTAATACATATTGAGCTTAAGTATGCAGGTCAAGGCAAATAGAGAGGGATTTGAACCAACACCCGCTTCTCCATCAAGTGACACTTATTGGGACTAGATAAGATCTAAGGGTTTGTGGTAATGTTATGAAGAAGTTTCACATGTGAGGAAACGCACTGCAGCAGCCCTGATTGGCTAACATTGAGCCCGTAGGCACAGCATGTGTACACACCATTACGGTTGAGCAACACACGTGACCCATCATGCATCACTACAACAGAATCCAGAGAACCCGGCCGAGGCAGGTCCAGATTCCATTAATTTGATAGGTCCTTCTATGGGGTGTTTGGGGAAAAAACACCCACATAGTTTAATAGGTAACTCCCAAAAATATCACTGACCAGGCGGGTGGGTGTTGTCTGTCAGCGAGCCAATGAAAGGACGAGGCAGGCACTCTGAAACTCGGCCGTGTTTGATTACACAGCTCCAGTTGGGAAACCAGGAGCGAGAGCCAGACCTGGGGGGTGGTGTACCCAGTCGGGGTGAGGGGGCTTGTGGGGACGTACATATAGATAAAGGTCCTAGAAAAAGGCCTCAGGAAATGTTTGCCATCTGTTTTTCCTATGCAGAAGGCATCAGTGCAGGGAAATAATGCAAAAACAAGGCATGTGATGGTAATTATGCTTTCTAGAATGCAAAGATCAATGTGGCACAGCTCTGACTCCATGTAATAGAGCAGCTCCAGACATCCTACTATTATGTGTTTATAGATCCCACTGGGCCCCCCTGCTGTACTGACATGCTGCCTCCCCCCGGGGGCTACGATTAACAGGCTCAGATTACAGTTGGCATGGGTGGCAGCACCGCCTTCATCTGGAGTGAGAGCTGGCATGTGGTACAGACCGCCGCAGGTACAGACTAACAGAGTACCAGTTAATGGACTTTACAGAAGAAATGGCTGGCTGGGGGGGGAGGTGAGGGTTCTGAAGGGCCAGCAGTTAATTATTAGGGGATTTATCTGATGCAGCAGGACTCTCCGTACCCTGATTTGCAGGCTTTGGGTTTTACTGTCTCATCTGCTTATCTGGGCAGAGTCTGGTTCCAGTCCGCAGGGTATCGGGGTGACATAAAGCTGAGGACTCAGCACATTCACTGAGGAGAGCCCAGGGCAAAGGGCAGCCGTGGGGTAGCCAGGGGGCAGCCGCTCACCCGGAGGGGGCTGCTGGTAAATATGGTATCGTGTCACCATGTTTCTCACCTAAACACTAACAGCGTCAAGGCATGGTCAAAGCACAAGGAGTACTTAATGCTGATACTTCAAGAGTGCTTTTTTTTACAGCAGGTTACTATATAACTACTGCCAGGCGAGAATCAGGAAAAAATGAGAGAACCAAAAAAAAAAAAAACTTGGGCAGATAAAACTTTATCATTTCTGTGGGATCTTTTTAGAGTGAGACTATTTTATAAAACACAGGCCTAGAAAAACACTGTCAACACAGCTCAGAGTTAAGGGTCTGTAATGGGAAGAGGATCTGGGAGAGTCAAAAACCTGTAAACAGGCCGGATGAGTAAAGCTGGGACACGAACACTAAGGCCCAATCCCAATTCTACCCCTTACCCCTACACTTACCCCTACCCCTCCGTTTGGCGCGTTCACGTGTAGGGGTAGGGGTGTCTCAATTCTCTTTTGATTGGAGGGGTAGGGGTAAGGGGAAGGGCTAGATAGCCCTCGAAACGAAGATTTTTCGGGACCTCACTTCAAACGAAGGGCTAAGAGAAATTTACAACATGGCTGCCCACTCGAGCAAGCAGACCCATAAATGTTAAGTAATTTTTGCCATTAATAAGGATTTTTATGACATTTTTTCATTACATGTATATTACCATCAATCTTGTGTTTGTGTTTACGGTGATGTTCTGTAAAGAAACGTTTGAAAAAAAATCGCTAAAGTTTGCTTGCGGATAGCACTGATTGCACAATATTAGGAAATATATTTTTATGTCATATAACGTTACCCGGTAACTGACTGCATGTTGTAACGCGTTGTTTTGTTTTGCTTATGGCCATATGTGTACATGTAAATGAACGGTGCTTACACTATTCGTACTTATTGCAACATGACAACATTTTTGTAAATTATATTCTGTATAGGGACAGCTGAGGAAACCCGAAGGCTCATACGTTTTCACGGTGAAAACGAACATCTTTTTTTAAAGTCCAAATACGGCGCAAAAAAACTTTGGGAGTGAGTAATCTTTACATGCTACGATGCTGACGGCGACATCTTGGAATTTGTGATAAACATCGGAGCATGTCCTCTGACGTAACGTTAGGAGGTAGTGACAATGGATGATGACGTATAACAGTGTAGTAGTGGTGTCCCATTTCTTAGGGGAAATTTTTTAACCCTACCTCTTTCCACTTCATTTCAAGGGGCAAGGGGAAGGGGTGAGGGGTAGGCAAAGGGGTAGAAAATAGAATTGGGATTGGGCCTAAGCCTCACCATGTACTAATGTCATGGTGGATTGTGAAGCACTAACACAGTTACGCAGCTCAGAAATAATTCCTGTTGGCCAGCCTGGGCTGTCCATACTATCAGGTCCCTAACTGTCGTTCAGTGACAAAGGGACAAAGACCCGGAGGCTGTTTGCAAATGGCCTGTACACCAGTTGCATAATAGCCCGTTCCACGTCATAAGTGCCCCTGGTGGCAGAAAGGAACACACTATTGTTGAGAACACGCTAATGATGCACTAAACATAGGCTCCGAAAGTTCATTGAGACCTAGTTGAGTGGCCCTGGGTCAGGTTGGGACCTGGCTACCAAACCCAGTCTCCTTCCCCTGGCTCTGTGTTACTCAGAGAGGGACACCTGGCCTGGACTTCCATTTTGCTGAGTACAACCGAGAGGCAAAGTAAACAGGCTCAGACTGTCATCAAAGACACAGGTCTGAGAGTCACGACCAGGATGGAGGGATGAGAGAGAGAGGGGGAATGAGAAGCCTGAGCAGGAGGGGCACAGCAGTGCCTATAAACAAACCTTGCAATATACACACATGTACATCAATGCTTAGGGTCCTGAGAAAACAAAGAGTAAAACCTCAATGCACCTCTCAGCTAAAGGCCCCAGATGACAGAAACCAACTGATGTCATGGGTCTGCGATCATGTAGTCCATCCCCACCCCGCAAAGCGAAAGGCTGTGTGCTGGCAGTGGGAGACCCCACCCCTCTCTATCAGGAACACGTGAAGAGCACTTTCATACGAAGCAGGAATGTTCCCAGTGAACCATGGCCATCTCAGATGTCCCAATTAAACCACTTTAATGTGACCTTGTACCTGTGCTGAGTTACACTGCCATGAAGATTTATGTTGGCAGTAATCATTACACACTTCCCCACACCTTTTTCAGAATAATTTTATTTACACTTATTTGTTTAGTCGATACTTTCTTCCAAAATAATGTACAAGTAAAGGTCAGTCTGTGTTAATGGAGCAGTTAGGGTTAAGAGCCGTGCTCAAGGGCCCAATGCTGATGCAATTACTCTTCTAGCCATGGGATGCGAACCCACAAACTTCTGTACATATGCAGAGATCCCAAACCTATCAATTAGCTTGTGATCTGGTTCCCAGGTATGCCAAGCAGATCGAGCACCCAGAAACAGGTCTTCTGTCCGGAAAGTCGGAGACCTCACTCACAGAGGTTCACACACCACCAGAGGGGCAGGTCATATGACCTCGATGGCACTAATCACGCTTGCTTCTGTTACAACCAATCATATCCCAGGGATGCTTCACTGCATTTTTGCAATCCAGTTACTGCCTGCCCTAACCACTCCTTAAAAGCTGCCTTCCACTTCCTGAATAACCAGCGGCACCTGATTTTCCATTTAGCTTGTTTAATGTTTTGTCACAAACATCCCACGAGTATATTCTATTCTGTAAAAATATTAAAAATATAGGCCTGATACTGATATGTTGCTCTTTAATTTGTGGTTAAATCCTTTCACTTCTGTTTTCCCACAGGCTAAGTTTCAATTCCCTTGTTTCTCTTATGAGGACATTCAGCAGCAGAAAGGTTAGTCCTGCATGGAGGCCTAGCAGCAGCAGCACACAACCTATGACTGACATGTGACAGACAGCCCTTTTCCTCGACAGTTTTGTTTCGGTGGCTTCCGAGATGTTCGGCAAAAGTGGAGATCGAAAGGCTGAATCCTCACGGCCTGGATGAGAGCACCTCTGAACGGAAAAAAGGGTCTGCAGAAGGTGTAGAATGATAATGCTGTTCGTCACGTGCAAACGAACGCATGTTTGTCCAGCCGAAAGTGACTGTTAGACGTGGAAGTTAGCTACTGCTTCACAAGAGAGAAATACCGATGAAAAGATCCTTCTTACGACTGGTCGTAATAATTTATAAAGAACACCCGTTAAGGAAGCCTTATACACTTAATCTGCTCCTCTGCATATTTGGATAATCACAGAAAACAACAAAGATTGTTTGGCAGAAACAGGAAGTCTCCTTAGCATAGAATATATAGCATAGGAATATAAAGTTAATAGGATCGCCAGCATAAGATAAAACTAATTTCCTTTCCCATCTCTTGCACAAACACCGGGTTTGCACAAGCAACTTAAACTTTTCCAGTGTGAAATGCGGCGCTCCGCGGAAGCCCTCCCCTTGGCGTGATGGGAGCCCGCAGCATGTCGGTGCCTTAAAGCTGGGAGGGAACCAAATGAAGGCTGTCAGTCGCCAGACGCACTGAGGAGGAGCCGCTCTGTCGGTCCCATTGTTTATTTTTGTCTCCTTCGTCCATCTCACTTTAGGCGTTACCGTTTTGTACCGAGAACCCGGTCTTCCTTACCTTAGCGACGATGTACCGATACTTGGGAGAGCTGCTGACTCGCGGGGTGACTGGCGCCCTGGCCTCGGGGTGCGCCGAGCCGGCCCTGCCAGCCTCTGCGTCCGTCCTGCGGCTCCGGCGCTACAGCGAGGCCGTCAGCGACCGGGAGGATGATCCCAACTTCTTCAAAATGGTCGAGGGCTTCTTCGATCGGGGCGCGGCGATCGTGGAGGACAAGCTGGTGGAAGACCTGAAGAACCGGGAGACGCCGGAGCAGAAGAGGCACCGGGTGCGGGGCATCCTGAAGATCATCAAGCCCTGCAACCACGTTTTGAGCGTGTCCTTCCCCATCAAGCGAGACAACGGCGAGTGGGAAGTGATCGAGGGGTACCGGGCCCAGCACAGCCAACATCGGACGCCGTGCAAAGGAGGTACCGCTCGCAGCGAGATGCAGGGCGTGGGGCGTATAAAAAAAATCTTTCGTTGTAATTGGGTAACATTCTGAATTTAGCGATAGTATGCAGTGGCCGATCTTGTGCGATGTGGTTGATAAAGATGACTGTTTTTTGTTAAATATTGTTAAATATCTACTCGGAGTTCAAGTAAACATTCCAACTTTCAACTGACGCCACGGATCTAGAGTAGCTGCCTGTTTGCGTGACGGCTGGGTGTGTTTATTAGCTTCTGTCTTTTGTATTTACCAATAAATAATGCTTTTATCCCCATACATGATCCCAAACTGTAAAAGAAGCTGTGTGTTAGTGGACGTATATGTCTGAGTAACATCAGTGTGAACGCAACTTTTAGCGCCACGCGTTGCCCTGTGCATCTTCTTATGGATCCTTAAGTGTGGTCTGTACTGCGGCTTATTGCGGATTTACATGATTTCTTTATTTTACTTGACAGGTTAAGAATACACATATATAATCTTCTGGCGATTTGTCGATTTTCTCAGCACTTTCCTTAAGTTAACTATCCATCTGCTACCCGGACAGCTAGGTGTGCACCCCCCACCCCTACAAAGTGCCTGCATCGCATTGTCATTACAGTAAGCACTGAAGGGTTGCTATAATTAAAACGGACTGGATGGTATGTTAATGTCTCCATACAGCCATTCTCGGAAACCAGGTCTCAGCTGACCGTGTTCTGAAGGGCAGTAGGGAAGTCTCTGGACCGACACGTCTGTGATCGTTTAGGGTCATGTGGCGTAAATGCGGGAACAGCCATGCCACATTCTCTGTGGAAACAGAAATAAATATGGGGAGGGGAAGTGGCTACAAGTTAGTCATGTTTTCACTGTACAGCATTTTGCATGATTCCCCAGTGTTCGGCTAAGGATTTGGAAAATTACTCAAATGCAGCTTCAGGAATGTGGTTGCATTGATGGAAGTCACAATTATCCATCAGGGCCATGAGGGGACAAGTGGGCACCTCTTTCTGCAGAGACGCCTGGTTCTTAGATTAAGCCCCACTGTAGTAAATGGTGCTGGTTTCTCCAATCTGACTGGTTCTATGACTGGAACCCCAGCAGACAGGTGTGCTTGTTCACCTCAGCTGGTGTGTGGACGTCTGGATACTTTATTTTCTTTGTGAGAACTGTGTTCCTAAAGGTGGCCTGTAGTGAGGTGGGGAAGGAGGGTCTTTCAGTATGAACAGTCACCTATGGCCAGTCATGTGGTTAGGGACGGAAACATTGGGCAAAAGGTGCTCCAAACTCAGTCCAGGATCCTGATAAGCTGTTAATTGTAGGTCTGTTGACTTTGAGGTATTTAGCCATTGGCTCTATTAATCACAGAATAGTAGACACACTATAGTAGACACAGGTTGAGGCAGAACGCTGGCCATCAGGCTGTCCCTATTGGTCAAGCCTCATGGCCCGCCTCCACTCGCTGCTTCATTGGCTGGGGAGCTGTTTAGAATGGAAATGTTTAGTTTTTCAGTGCCTTGTTGGCAGAAATGGCATTGACTGATCTGCAAATGAGGCTTGCAGTAGGCAGTGTCAGGCGGTTGTAGGGTGTTGCCCCGTTTTTCCTACCATATTCTCTTTTTTCCACTTTGAAGGCTCAGGCCTGGCAACTGAATCACAGTGTCTGAGCCACAACACTGCTGCTTGGTCTCTGACTCGCTTGCTCTGGAATTTCTCCTCCCTCTCCAGCTCCCCTTCCCTGCTTCTTCTACATTCTTGTTTGTTATACTGCTCCTTCCCTTGGGCTGGCATTTCGTTAGTTAGCTCCTGGTGTGTTCATGTGTTGGTTTTAATGTTTAAAAATACCTGGCTGAACCATGCCGAGTCATCTAACTTTTTAGCATCTGTTGCCTGTTTGCTTCTTTGCTTGTCATGACGACGCTGTCTTGTTTACCTGTGAGAGTGTGTCCCTGTGTGGGCACCATGTAATAATGCCTTGTGGTCCTGCATGACTGTGCAGCTTCTTCCTTTTAATAAGTACCTGCTGAGAGTCTGAGTGTTGAGGATGTAGTTCATGACCTCATGGGGAGGTGGCTACTTGGAGGATGGGGCACTCTGTGGGGTCACCTCTGATGGATGGGAGGGGTAGGGTGGGCTGGTCCCCCCTACTTTATGTTTTTCCATCCCTGAATTTATCTTTATAAAGAAATGAACTGGGGGTCCGTTGCCCTCCGTGCCTGGGTGTGCAGGGTTCTAAGATGTACATTTTGCTGAATGGCTGTCATGTTCCATTCTGAATTATCATAGTGTCTTGCTGTAGATTTTTAAATGGTTAAAATCTGAAATTATGATGATGATGAGGAGGAAATTTGGAACTTGTGATTAGTGTTATAATCTTCTCCACATGGTGAAACAGTACAGCTTCTCTTGCTACAGTGTACGTGAGCCTTGCCTGCTGAGGGAAATCCCTCATGTCGATGTACACTGTTCCATGATGTGGCAGAACCTGGAATATGGGAGACTGAGACAGTCAAACCCATGTTCACCTTCACCATGTGGGGGCAGGAGTGGCAATGGGGGTTAGAGTGAAATACCACACAGGAGTCTATTCTACAGGCTCATGGGTCTCTTGTACATTTTTGGTGTTTAATCCCCTTCTCATCACTGCTTGCTGTTTGTGTGCCTTCCAGGGATTCGGTACAGCACGGAGGTGTCCGTGGACGAGGTGAAGGCCCTGGCCTCTCTGATGACGTATAAATGTGCCGTCGTCGGTGAGTATTTCCACGTCTCCACGTTTTTTCTCTGGGAACAGGATCCAGATGGCTGTTATAGTAACTGATACGTAAACATGTCCTCATATGTTGAATTCTTACTGAAGATTAATTTTTCTTCCAGAGGAGTTTGCCTTTGCTGTAAACACGGTGCTTGTCGTGTTTCTTTGTGGTTTGCATCCTTCCTTGGCATTGAGTTTAATGTCTGCCTTGTTTGTTCCCCTTTCTAGATGTGCCATTTGGAGGAGCCAAAGCTGGAGTGAAAATCAACCCTCGGAATTACTCTGTAAGATGCGTGTGCAGACTCAGATTGTTTTAAATGGAAAACTTTGCATTAGGGCTGAATGATTTGAAACATCGTGATTAGCAAATCGCAAAGGGTGCAATTTAGGACATACATTATACAGCACGTCGGACCCAGGGTTTAAAACTGTTGTAAGAATAGTTTTCCAAACTCATACTGTGCTTCCTATGTGACAGTCGTTCTCACCAATCACAAGCGCCATGCTCCTTATGTGACAGTCATGCTCACCAATCAGAAGTGGCCCGAGGCAACGGAGTACACGCCCACAAACAGCATACACGTGAAACCCGAAGAAAATGTTGCATTCGCGGTGCGGAAAAAATACTGATTCCGCTACTGAGCTATAACTGAATTGCCTTCCTATTTCATGGTCCGATATTGTTTCAGGAAGGTCCTATCATCAATAGAACCGGCGACGACCTTTTAAACACCAGCTGCGATATACTTCAGCGTAGCACACCTTTTGTTTTTGTTAATGGGAAATCACATTAGCATATAACCCATCAAAACAACGAGACGGTCGGTAATCCTCACAGCAGCAGAGTCTGTGACCCCCAGAAATGCCGTAAAATCCATAATAGTCGTGTTTGTATCATATGTTTTTGTGCTCATTGATTTTCCATAGATTAATCTTGTGAAATTAATCTTAATATAACAACAGTAATAAAATGAAAGCTTCACTTTAACACAAATACTAAAAGAACAGATCGCTTTAATCGTTATTACAGTTGGGTATGGGCATGGTCTTATTTAAAAAAGATATAAAAAAAAGTGACGCATATAATGTTTTCTCCTTCGTCTTATATTTGTCAGAGCAACAAGGCAAAGGAATGATAAGCCGCTTCAGTCGAATCTTTGGTCAGATGCCTGGAGTGAGGCTTTTATACATTTACGTGTATGTAAGAGTTTTATTACCATGTAAATAGTCTGTAGGGTTTGCAAACTGCCCTAACATTTTTGATGCAGCTAATTCAAAGTTCATAATGGAATAATTTAGATTTGCCATAAGATTTCTTGCGTGAGTCTGAAAGCGTGTTACCCAAACCCGTGAGAGTTTGCAACCCTGAACACACACATTTTTCGTTTCCTCTGAATTGATTTGTATAAAAAATAACCTTATACAGTTGTTAAAAAGCGGAAACGTAGATCAACATGACCACCAATAAAATACGTCTATTTATTCGACATTTTATAAAATGCATACTACGTTTGAAAATTTTCCAGCTTTACAGTTTCAGGACAGAACAGCCACTCTGTTATGAACATTGCAGCTTTTTGAGTGTTAGATTCGCTGCTGTTATTAGCACTAATAACTAGTGCTGTCAAATGATTAAAATTTTTAATCAGATTAATCACAGGGTTCCTGTGGATTAATTTTGATTAATCATGATTAAATATCATTCATTTTTAATCTATATTAATCACATTTAATTTTGCATGAGCAAACAGACTCAAGAAAAAAGGGAATATATATGCACTTAACATGTTCATTGAACATCTTGAACATGAGTCGGATGCATTCCATCTGCCACAGAAGTGCAATACCATGGACCCATATCAAAAAGCAAGATTTTTTGCTTAGCCGGACAACTTGTCGGATTTAAGGTACCTCAGTTTAAATGGTCTTTATCTTCGTTCGCTTACAATTAGCACGAACTACCGTAAATCCGACAAATAATCCAACTAATCATGAAGTCCAATTCTAGCCCGGTTAATTGCCATTGTTAGCAATATCAGTTGATAACACATTACGTGCGGTGCTTTACATATAAAACTCTGTAGCAACACATCCACAGATAAGTTGGACGGTATAGCGTGTGCGACCGATTTAATGAGCCACAAATGAGAACTTTCCCTTCTGTTGATAAAGGGCGCAGCCATCTTGGATTCTGAACTCGGGATCCTCTGTGCTGCTCCGAGATATTTCTCGGATGTCCGAGAAATGCCAAGAGCAGAGAAACGGGAGCGCATGTAGTCACTTCCGGCTTCAAAACTCCGGAATCCGACTCGGAATACAAGTTCCGAGGGGAAATGGAACGCACTAAAACTACCCGAAATGGGTTGACAGAGACATTTCAGTGATTTTGAATCATTCCGCGCTGCAGATGGGTTAATTGCGTTAAAAATTTGAATCAGATTAATCATGATGATGGATTAATCCGCGTTTACCCGTTAATTTTGACAGCCCTACTAATAACACATTAGCGCAAACAAAATGGCTGCATACACCGAAGTAGTTCTTGCTTGTTCACTGGCGTGGAAAAGGCGGTTCTAGTGTTATTAAGGAGGTAATCAGCGTTACCTGCAAGATCGCTATTGTTTTTCTTTTTGCTACATTTGTTCATTATTACATTATTTAACTTAACACACCACATCTTTAAATTCTCATCCTTGCATTAGAATATAGACCAGTTAATATTTTGATGGTATTTCATGCAGTAATGCTGCATCATATGTTTTAAATTTACTACACACTGAATATTCAACTGAAGCTTGACAAAAAAAAATTATATCGCAAATCAAATCGTAATCGCAATGTCTGTCAGAAAAATCGCGATTCGGTATTTTCCCCAAATCGTTCAGCCCTACTTTGCATAAAAGCAGATGCATTGTCTGCACATGCAGGAGTGCCAGGCCGATCGGCCACAAGATTCCATTTGCATTTGTAAACCAACACCGAACGTTTTCTTTTCTCAAACAGTCACATGCTTTATTTTCCCTCATTTGTTGATGTTAGCAGGGTGACATTGGGGCTCCATTGGGTCGATCGTTAGCCTGTTAAGTCTTTATTTGGTGTCCGAAAGATGCCTGCTAAAAAGTGGTGCCCACTTGAAAAAACTGTAGGAATTTACAGTATTTGATTTTGGAAACCCTTTTAGTGTTCAGAAAGTTACTTGTTTTCTTTGCAGTGAAAAGAAAGGCACCTCACACACACACACACCCACCATATTTTTGAATACTGAATGTTTGGCCTGTCATAAAAGATGACTTTCCCCTGCAGTACATTACATTTTCTTCAGCTCGTCTCCCAGAATGCTTCAGCACCTCCTGTCTCATGCAGGAAGTTGTTTCTCCACTTCCTGTGCACTTCCTAGCACTCGGATTCATTTGGATTCATTGCATTGAGTCCATTCCTTGGCACCGTTGTTATTTTTGGGGTGGGGGGACAAAGTGCTGAGGCATCAGATGGCAGACTTCCAGAAGAGAAGGGGCTAGCAAGCGGCTGGGGGTGGAAATAGCTTTGTTGTTAAAATTGCATGTATTTCTGAAACACACTTTCCTCATGGGATTCCCTGTGAGGTGAATTTAATAGGAATCTGAGTAAAATATATGGCCAAAAGTATGTGGACACCCTTATTAATTAGAGGACTTGCCTAATTATACCAAACCTATTGCTGATACAGGTGTATGATTAATTTCAGTCATGCAGTATCCTGCAGCAGAACTATGTGGTTGTAGAGAAGAGATTAGTGACTTCCCACCTAGTATCGTCATAGCATGCAATCTTTTCAACAATTTACTATATTTTGTCCCTGCTAGAGCTACCTTGGACAACTACAAGTGAAATGACTGTGAAGGTCAAATTTTTTTAAGGAAGTTCAGATATTAAGTGGCTGGCTGCACAGACTCTCAGAAAGGGATCCAAACCTCAAACATCAATACTCAACCTGAATGGCAGCAAATCCCTGAATGGCAGTTTTCCAACATCTAATGGAAAGCCATCCCAGAAAATTATATTATATTATAGCAACAATGGGCCAACCTTGGTTTCAGAATGACATGTTGGATAAGCTGGTGTGTACATACTATTGATACTATTGACCGTAATGTATGTTTTCTTGCAATGTTCTTCTCTGTGCAATTAATCACCTCAGCTCTCACATGATCCCATTGAGGTGGATCAGATGTTTTTCCCTCACACTACATTTGCTTAATTGTGGTTTAACACGTTTGTTTTCTTGCATTTTTTTTGTTCAGGACAGTGAGCTGGAGAAGATCACGAGAAGATTCACCATTGAGCTGGCAAAGAAGGGCTTTATTGGTCAGTCTGTCAGTCTGCTTGCGTGCATGTCTGCGTGAAGGCTTAGACCCTGCTCATGCCTGCTAGCTTAGCCAAAGCTACCACCTTCAAGTATCACAGGCTAAAAAATCCCAGAACCACAAGGGGAAACAGAACTTTTTATGGATGTGTTTCGAAGAGGAGGAGCTTTATATCCAAATTCCAGTAGAAAGTTTCTCCCTCCTTAAAGTGGCTTCTAGCTGAGATGCAGCCTGCTGCTGTATGTTCTCCCTGCATGCCTTGGCTTTTTGCTGGTGCTGTTGCATGTTCTGATGAGGACCTGTATATCCTACACTTGTGAAGGGGGGGTTACAGGAGTAGGTTTTCCTCTCAATCTTTTCTGAGGAACATGACAGATGCCAGCCAGCACTATTAATACACTTTCTTGCTCAAGAGGGTTCACTCAGTATCTCTCCACACCTCCTGCTACAAAACGCTGACACTTTTGTCCTGCCTGACCTGTGCCGACTCTGGGGTTGGTCTTTTTGGGGTGGCTGGACCAGCAAGTTGGCATCGATGGACATTTTGGTCCCCCAAATTGCCATGGTCATGTGACATAGCTCGCCTACCAAGGAGTTGGCTGCTGGTTATTCCAGGTGCAGCCTGAGCTATTTTGCTGTTGCAGACTAGGAGGGGGGTTGACATTTGCCAGGCGCCTTTTCCTCTGGCTGATGCTTCATGGAGATATGGAAGATTGCTGACTGCCATGTTTGCTTACTGCCAAGTCTGTGTGTTGTGCTATAATGGCTTCCTGGTTCTGGCCCTCATGCCCTCCTGTGACACCCCCCCCCCCCTCCCCTTTTCCTTTTCAGGGCCCGGTATTGACGTCCCTGCCCCCGACATGAGCACGGGAGAGAGGGAGATGTCCTGGATTGCTGATACTTACGCCAACACGATGGGCCACCATGTAAGATCAAGCCGCCTAGACCCCTGTCTCAAACAGAGCATCACCAGTATGTTTTATTTTTCCGTTCTCTGCAGAATTTTGGCTTTTAGTCAGTTGCAGACTTTTTATTCATTTGCAGGTTGTGCTCAGGACTGACGTATTAGTTTTAAAACGGTTGTCTTTTGGTAAATCTTTCTGACAGGTAATCTCCTAACATGTAGGCAAACAACAAAACCTAGATATCACTATTTTAAGTCTTCTGTCCTTTTGTCGATTAGGTGAGATTAATTGAAAACTTGTTTACTGGCCGATTAACCAAATGGTCCAGTGGTTGAGCTAATATTTACCTTGTTTCATTTATATAGGCCTTCGGTTATGAGTGACCATCCTTTTCTAATCAGTCAGTGTGGTGTGAGTAGTCACTCATCCGCAGTGTGCTGTCAGAGTTTGAATTGTCAGCATTATTCCTCTAAGTGACCTTCCTCTTTACTCAGCAGCTCTTGTGCTCGTTTTGGTTACAGCTGTCGCAATTTCTTTATCTGTTTTTGCTTGTATGTGTCATCAAAATGTCTTTAGTTTAAACTGCCTCACGTAGATTTTATTCCTGGTTTATTTTGGAGTACGTGAGTCAGTTTTACATCTGCCCAAACGGGTTGTGCTTTTGGACAGTCAGATCTGTCGTTTCCTACATGCAGTAAACCACCTGAAGTAAAGGACTGCTGCTGTAAAGAGCCTTAATGAGGCATTTGGAGAACAGCCTCTGTGATTCTTGGCATAGACTTGCTTGGAGTCTCCTGGGCAGGTATGAGCCTCAGATACTGGGAAACCTTGTCATACTTTAGGTTGTGTTCTCCCATTTGTCCATCTGGCCAATGGGATACGATTGAAACATAATTCCTGCTCTGTAAGACATGTGCCCTCTTCTGCTCAGTGGAGGGGGGCATTCTGGAAGATTACATCGAGATATAAGTGCCAAATGGTGCCACAGACAAGAGCAATCACACTACCTTTGTATTAGTCTAATTGCCCTTAAAGAGTGAAGCTAAGGCTGTATTGGATGAGACCGAATCATTCATTGTGTCCATAGGACTTTAATTGAAAGCCTTTTTGGGTGTAATGAGAGGTTTCATGCACTGCAACCCACTGGTAGTTCTTAATGGACCTGCCTGCTCCTCTCACACTAGTGGTCTTAAACCTCAAACCAATGCACAGGCATCACAGTGCCTTTGGCCGCCTCTGTTGCTAATTGATGTCGTTTCTTCAGAACGCTGCTGCTTTCATTGTGTTTCCATTGCGCAACCAGTTCTTTCCAAATATGCCTCAGCAATCAGCCTTCTCTCAAAGGCACAGTATCCTAGAATCTAGGCCCTCCCTTGATTTTTTTATTATTTTTTTTTCTTTCTTTCCCATGCGTCCCTAAGAGGGGATTATGAAGATGTATGATGTAATTGTACATTAAAGCAGGGTTTTAGCATGTCGTCTTGTACATATAATTCTTATTTTAATGTAAATATATTCATATTGCTCTGCTGTAAATAATTTGCTGGGTGTTTCTCTGTGACTCAGCATTCTACCCATAGCAGGTGTGGGATGGGAGCCGCTTCTTTTCTGCCATTGTTTCCTGCAGGATGGCGTGTGATGCTAGTGACTGCAGGAGGAATGTTTTGCCGTCTCTCCCTGCAGAACATCAATGCCCATGCCTGTGTGACCGGCAAGCCCATCAGCCAGGGTGGCATACATGGCAGGATCTCCGCCACCGGCCGCGGTGTCTTTCACGGCATTGAGAACTTCATCAATGAGGCGGCCTACATGAGCCAGCTGGGCCTGACGCCCGGTTTTGCTGACAAGACCTTCGTCATCCAGGTGGGATTTCCGGAGTACACACACACAGATCTGAATCTCTGAAAGATCTGCAGTGATTAATAGGCGTGTTTGCCCTAACCCAAACCTAAGGTGCAGCTTGTTCCCTTGCCATTTTTTATATTTTTTTTGCAATAGTCATTGCCCTGTTTTCCCACATTGTGGTAGTAGTTTAGTGACTGGCTCAGATCATGCGTCTTGCTTATCCTGTAATGGGTTGGTGGGAAGACAGACGTCACGTGACCTGGGTCGTTCTGTGGATCGCGGCTGTGTGGCAGTCAGGTGGGTCGGTGCAGCATGTCGGTGCTGGGCCATGGGGTTCCGCTGTGACATTTCTCATTTCCTGCAGGGCTTTGGCAACGTGGGCCTGCACTCTATGCGGTACCTGCACCGCTTCGGGGCCAAGTGCGTGGGCGTCGGGGAGATAGATGGAAACATCTGGAACCCCAATGGCATTGACCCGAAGGAGCTGGAGGACTACAAACTGGTGCGTGCGTGCGTGTGTGTGTCTGTGTGTGGGTCAGATATACATTTGGTCCCCACAATGTGATTAAAGACCAGCTATATTGATATTGTGAGGACCATTTTTTCAGTCCCCACAAGGGGAAATTTTACATTTTATAAAAATCTGTAACTTTTGCATTTTGTTTGATTACTTATGGTTAAGGTTAGGACTGGTTAGGGGTTAAGGTCATCATTGATGGGATTAGAGTTTTGCTCACAGAAATGAATGGATGTTCCCCACAAAGATGTGTGTGTGTGTGTGTGTGTGTGTGTGTCACTGAGAGAGCGAGAGAGAGATAGAAATGGGAAATTTCTAAGACTGGTGGTAGAGTGGGACCCAGGACACAGCTGTGGGGAAGAAAGACTCTACCACACGCCTTTGAGTGGAATCCTTATTATGGGGTGAACTGTAAAAAAATGTGCAAATTTTAATAGTGGTGTGAACACACCACCTGGTGGATATTTTCTGCTATGGCAGCCTTTGTCCTATCATTTGGAATAGCATTAGAATTGTTCATGCCTGTCTCATGTTAACATTGTATGTCACCAACAACTTGCATATAAATAGCAGTGTTATTTAACGTCTATAAAGAGGTCATGCTTTTAGTGTTTTTAAGTAGCCATGTACATAAAAGCAGCAGCAATATGTAAAAGACTTGCAGTCTGAAGAGCTCAGCTTTTCACCTGTCATGTGTCTATCAGCAACATGGCACCATTGTGGGCTTCCCCAACGCCAAGCCCTACGAGGGCAACATCCTGGAGGCTGACTGCCACATCCTGATCCCTGCGGCCAGCGAGAAGCAGCTGACCAAGAAGAATGCCCCCAATATCAAGGCCAAGGTCAGGGCTTCCTCCCAGCGCAGTGCCACTTGGGGGGTTTCAGCATGATTTATGGTGTTCAGTCGTCTTGGACTGTGTTTTCACAGGGCCGTGTTCTCAGATCAGTGGGGAATGAATTCTGTATTTGGATAAAGCAAAAATAAGGTCCCAGTGGACAGAACCTGACCTTCTTGGGTGTTTGTTGCAGATAATTGCCGAGGGAGCCAACGGTCCCACTACCCCCGCGGCTGACAAGATCTTCTTGGAGAGAAACATTATGGTCATCCCGGTAAGGTTTAGCAAGACCACAACATGACAGCTCTGATTCCAGAGGGGTCTAGGAGGAAGCAGACTGCCCAGGGTTTGATGGGAGGGGTTGAGGAGTCATAAGGCAGCCAAGACAGGAGGTCACCAGTGTGTGGAAGTGTGGCTTTGACACACTCTTCCTTTCATTGAATGTTCACCTTGCATAGGTTGTATTGCATAGTGATCAAACTATAATGATAAGTATAACTATCATTAAGAAGCCAGGATATTCAGTCATTGAATGTGTACATATGTTACTGAGTACTGCATGCTCATATTTAATTAGTTCACATATGTTTCTGGAAGTGTACTAAGCATGATTGCCCCCCGTAGGACATGTACCTGAATGCTGGCGGTGTGACTGTCTCCTACTTTGAGTGGCTGAAGAACCTGAACCATGTGAGCTACGGCCGACTGACCTTCAAATATGAGAGGGACTCCAACTACCATCTGCTGAGTAAGTCTTCCCCATGGTCACTAGAGAAGCAAAAATATGCTGCAGTAACTGAGCAAAACCACCAGGTGGAGCACTCGCCGCTTCTTTTCCTGGTTTCTCACATGGTATTGAACTTGACTGAACACATATGAACAGTGCATTTCGACATCAGGCCTGCTGTATTTCACGCAGTCTGTGTATCTTTCTGCAGAGCTCCCTACTTCTCCATGACTGTTACCAGTTACAGGAAATCGCTAAGCGGCATTTATGTCTGATTAATCGCTCTGCCCAGCCTAGCCCTGTGGAACGAAATGAGCTGAATGTCAGGCTCCTGAGAGAGTCTTTCACATGTGTGTGTCGGTACTGGAATGGGCTGCGTCAGTGACTGGACGGTTAATGGTGTAGCAGGATGTGGATTCTGTGTGAAAGACCCTCATCTCTTTGCTAAGCTATTGATATATGTAATGAATGTACAATATATGGCCAAAAGTATTTGCCCACCCCGATTAGATGAATTGTATACTACTAGAAAGTATTGTATACTACTAGAAATACTTGGTTGGTTAAAATCGCAGTATTTTGCTTACAGCTCTACTGACAGAAGTTCCTGAATCTCGTTGTCTCTCTAGTTATTCATGTCTGCTGGGGGTTTCTTCACTAATAACCCTTAATAACCCTTCTTTACCCTCGGTTGTTTGTATTTTTCCGTTTTCACATCAATTGCAGATTGAAACAACACGCCCACTCATTTGTGGTGAATTCTCTGGAATTCGTCCCATTTCTTTCACACATGAGTGTCAAACGGAAATGACCCAGGCTTTATACTAGGGAGCTAGCAGGGTTAGGTCCATTTAATGTCTGGTATGACTCATTTGGACATTTGCATTGACATATACAGCCCTTCCGGGTAATATCTAGAAATCTGAAAGTGGCTTAGCTTTCCACATTTCTACCCTGCTAGAGCAGCGCTGGTCACCCACAAGTGATTATGAAGCTCAAAATGTACTAAGTGAATCCCAACCAGCAATGTTCCAGCATCGACTTGCAAGCCTTCCCAGAAGAGCAGAGCTGTAATAGCAACTACAGGGAGACCAACTTCATATGAATAGCCTTGGTTTCGGGATTGAAATGTTGGCCAAGTTGATGTCAACATACCTTTTGGCTTTATATTTTGTCTGTGTGTGTGTCTGTGTGTGTGTGTGTCTGTGTGTCTGTGTGTCTGTGTGTGTGTGTGTGTGTGTGTGTGTGTGTGTGTGTGTGTGTGTGTGAGACAAATCACAATAACTGACCAATATGATGACATTTATGGAAGATCAATACAAATTCCTGGCTCAGTTCTGTGATATATTGGCTCCAGAAGTGTAATTTGCAGGATGATTCTGCTCTAGTTCCTTTGTTGTGCTGTACCCAGCCAGCGCAGTTCGTGTTCATTTGCATTTTCTGTTTAGAATAGCCTCGGTTTTTTGTGGAGAAGTACAGTAATGCCCCGCAAAGTTAATTGAAAAGCCTTCTTAAATCTATGTGCCATGCTTTTAAATTTTTATCTGGCACGCCTTTAAATTATTAGCCGCTATCTGGTGATAATTCAGGCTACTGTACCCAATTCTTGCGTAACTGTTGTTTGAAGCTCCATCTGTATCACATGATCAGTGGAAGTGGTTTGACTGGCCTGGACTGGTCTCCATGTTCACTTGTTGCTTGGTTACATTCCAGTGCTTATGCTGAAGTTCCGAAACTGAAAATTTCAATGTTAGTCACTGTCTATGTACACTAAAGTGGATCAGTACTAAGATGTGTTGTTTAGATTTTATTATTTGTACGAATCTCAATATGTTTTTCTCTTTATTTTGTTTCATTGCTAGTTTTAGCCAAGTTTTTGTCACTAGTGTCATTAGAGTTAAATTGAGTGGTGTAACCATAGCAGCATGTATTATTTATCTTACTGTCTTGTAGAAATTCCATCTATCTGAGCCATTATTCTATTTTTCCACCTGAAGTTTTTTCATGATTTTGATCACTATTGTCAAATATGACTGTGTTTCTTCCTAACCCTCCTGTGCCCCTCCCTAGTGTCTGTCCAGGAGAGCCTGGAGAGGAAGTTTGGCAAGCATGGTGGAGCCATTCCTGTTGTCCCCACAGCGGAGTTCCAGGCCAGGATTGCCGTGAGTAACCGCCGCTGCACCCAAACAAACACACAGCCGGCAGAGCTGACGGTAAACATACACAATGCCTTGCCTGCCATCTCAGAAAGAGAGGAAAGCTTGATCGGGTCAAAACCTTTTTTTTTTTCTTTTCCTAACCAACCTTATCAGCCGTCTAGTATCACCAAACCCTCAGTGGAAACCTGAGCCTCTGCTGTAGCTCATCCAAAGGCTTAAAACCTCAGGAAAGGGGGTACCTTGGGCAATGACATCAGCAATGGCCTGCAGGTCATTACGATGCTCTGAGCATATTTGGGAATTACTTATTTTCAAAAGTGATAATGTGGTTCCGCATGAGTTGCTGAAGGATACGAGGGAAGATCTTTACTACAGAAGGGGAGTCCTTATTGTTTGTCTCTGGATGTTCATGGGAAATGTTATAAGGGGTAGAGAGGAACAGAACAATCGCCCCTCCAGATTCACAAATTTGAGATTTGCGGTTTCGGTTATTTGTGAGTTTGCCATGAGTAATGAAACGGGAATAGTTTTGGAGCTTGCCGAAAGATCAGAAATGCGCAGATGATGCGTTAACTAAAAACAATACTGAAAATTATTCAGATCACATAATAAACATCATATAATAAATATTAGTAATGCATAATATTTGTTAGTGTAAGTACGTACTGTGCTTTTAATATTGGTTTGGCTTGGGTACGTTATGCATCTTTGTCTTGGCAGCCAGCCTTACTCATGTTATCCGTCTTTGTGACCATGGAATTTTATGTTTCTTGTAGTAACTTTTTAAAACTTTTTCAGTGCTGTTAATTTAGCATTTTTAATAATGGGTCCTGGAGTATCCAGCAGTAACTTTGCACATATATAGGCGCATAATTTAGATGGCCTGTATAATGTATAAAAACACCTAAATTGGAAATAAGTAATTTTACATGCATAGTGCAGAGTACTGTCTGTGAATTGGTAATGGACTTTTTATGTTATTGATTAAGCTGGCAGATTCTTGAGGTAAATGGGTGCCCAAGTATTATTTGCCAATTTTCACATTCGCAGAGATCTTCTGCCCCTAACCCTTATGAATGTGAAGGGGTGACTGTATATTGGAAATGAAAGTGATATCTCTGGTCTGAATCATCTCAATTTCCTTTTGTTCTCTGTCTTCTAGTGAACTGTTTCCTCCTTTGGGTTCATGTTTGTGTATGTTTAGAGAGTATTTATCTCTTTCAGTATGAAATGTAATAATATTAACTGTGCTCCCGCAGGGTGCCTCTGAGAAGGACATCGTCCACTCCGGCTTGGCCTACACCATGGAGAGATCTGCGCGGGTATGTGCATGTAGACATATGGTTATTAAACTGGCAGTGATTCTATAGGAGATGTTCACCATGAACTGGTGAACTACAGCACTGTTGTGATGGTGTGGCTGGAAAGCTGGGAATGTCTTAGGATGCTGGCCTGCTCCGCCCCCTAGAGGACTGTGTCCCGGTGGTCGCGTGCAAGCACTTTTGTTCCGGCCGCCTACCTGGGGGCAGTTTCCAGCCCTAATGGCTCCCATAGCCCGTCAGTGCTGGTTTAGTAGTTTTCATCTGGTTTCTCATTTTGACCAGACTGAAATGGTTCCTAACTGCTTCTAAAACTCACTACATGCAAACATGTATGTTTGAGGCTCACTGCAATCCATGAAGCTTTTAAAAATAAAAAATAAAATAAAAAAAATGCTGCCCCAAAGTAATTGCTGACTTAATTTATAGCTAGAAGAATAACTTGTTTACTATCTAACCCCCACCCAGCCCTCAGGGCCTGAAGAGAGCAGATGGCTCTATGCAAATGCCTCACTGTAAAATTGTATTGTGTGTCACGGTAATCCGAGAAGGACACGCACGTCTCGTCACACGTGAGCCAGCTGTGACATTATCCACATTAAAATGCATTAAGGTTGCCCCTCCCCCCACCTTTTACTATCATATTTGAACCTTTTGAAGTTGTTTTCTGCTCCTGTCTCCTGTATGTGTGTGTGTGTATATATATATATATATATATATATATATATATATATATATATATATATATATATAATATGTATGTACGTGTATGTATGTGTATGTATGTGTATATATATATATGTGTGTGTGTGTGTGTGTGTGTGTGTGTGTGTGTGTGTGTGTGTGCAAAACTCCAGAAGTATAAAATTACCATCTTCTCCCCCCAGCAAATCATGCGAACAGCAAACAAGTACAACCTCGGCCTGGACCTGAGGACAGCTGCCTACGTCAACGCCATTGAGAAGGTCTTCAAGGTGTACAATGAGGCTGGCCTGACCTTCACATAGACGCCCCCCCCCCGGGCCCTATGTCCGTCCAGCTGTCTATGCACTCGAGGCCCCTCCGCCACAGCGCCACCTGTACTCAGCGTTTACATATTGTTCACCCTATAATCCATGTTTATTATTCGTCATTTAACCATTCTGACCACTCTTATGTCCCTTAATGTTCTCCTGAATGTCTGTCACGGGTCCCCCCCCCCCCCCAAACTGTCATTACTGTAAGCCTCACATATCAGTGAAATGTTCTTGTGCTTTTTTTTTTTTTTTTGCGTCAGTTTTATATAACGGGTTAAAATGCCGGAATTTGACTCACTGTTACTGGGACTCTCAAGCTACCCGTTGCTGTCATGCATAACATCTTACCATTGCTGTTACCTGTTCATGTTGCAACGTTGCTCGCTGGACCATAGAGGGACTCAAGGTGAGGTCAGTCAGAGGGCAGCACAGAGTGCCATGTGTCCTCTTCTATGGTCAGTTGTTTGAAAAACAATTTATTCAATTGTCAGTTTTTCCCAACTGCAAAATTAAATTTCTGGTCAGGGATTTCCTCTCGAGCACTTGTGCATAAACAGGAGAGCGTAAATGTTCTTCAGTGTTCTGTTTGTTGACAACAGATGTGTTCTGTACGTTTCTGTTGCTGTAGGAGGATGAAAAACCAAAGTTAGATTTTAATTAGGTTATTGAAAATATTCTGAATTTCTTTGGGCAAGTTTTAAGTTGATATCTCCACTTCTGAAATGTTGACTTGATTCCTGATAAAGGAATCAACAGTATGTGATGTTTGAGGTGGGGGGGAATGTTCCTGGGAACAATATATATATATATATTTTTCTTGCCTCGATTGGAATGCTGCTTTGAGACTATTGATAAACATTTGTAACTGCTTTTTGTTCAAAACATAAACTGACCGATGCAAAACCGGCCCTTTTTGTCCTCTTTCATCCCGGTGTTTGCATGGCTGCATCTGGATTTATGATACAGCAGCATGTAGCCTATACTGTAGGTATCATTAACCAAAAGCAGATGTGTCACCAAGAATTCAATGGTCTGATACATCGATAACATGTCTGCACTTATATCCAGTCTGGGATGAGGAAACAAAAGTTGCTCTTCGATCTTATTTTATTTAGGATTCGTCACAGCCTGCACTGCCGAACCCACGGCCCGAACAGTAACTGGTGTAACCTGCTTGCTGGACTTCCGTAGTGCTGCAGATCTTCCGTAGTGAATCATTTCGGCCTTAAAGATCACATTAGCAGTGCCTTTCCAGTCTAAAACCCCACTTTGTGCGAGTGGTGATTGTAAAGCCCACCTCCCTGAAATATATCAGATAAGATGGAAACTGAAATGAAACTGAAATTAAAATAATTTTATTATATTTTTAATTAAAATAATAAAAGGGAAAATAACCTTCTTATTGTCACCGAATAGGCATCACCACACAAATGACATCAAGCGTACTCCAGGCTCACATTGATTGATTTTTGTAAGGAACCAATAATCTAGTCGTGTTTTTCTCATGTAATTGTGACAGATGTGTTGGCTTTCACGCTTGCTCTGTGTTGTGCGCAGGTTGACGTGACACCACGAACAGCCCTCGGTTTCTGTTTTTATTGCCGAATTCAAAGAAGAACAAAGACAGCTCCGACAGGGATCGAGCCAGATGCATTGCGCTCCTCTGCCGTGGGAGAGTTGCAAAAGAGGCGGAGGAGAGAGCGACACGAAAAGTTAATGGATCCCTGCATGGGAACCTTTCCATATCATACCCCCAACCCATACCTCTGCACCCCAGATCCGCAGAAGCGGCGATTAAAAATTCAAGTGCCCAGGGAAATTCAGAGAAACACTCTTAATCCTGTTACATAATCCCTAGTGCAAATTTCAGGTGAAAGAAATAAGCCATAATGTTTGCTCCAAATTGGTAAGGATAGTTTGCCATTACCAGCACCGAGCCATAGACCAAAACCAAGAAAGAAGTCTCCTGTATCTGAGATCCATTGGAATGCAGGGGCAGGTTTTTTTTGGGATTTTCACTAAGGATTAATTGATTTCAGATAATATTTGAACTTCAACTTCAAACATCGGTATGTCAGTTGTTTGCGAGGATAAAAAGCAGCCCTGGTAAAAAAAAAAAATCTCCAGACACATGAATTTGGAAATACATTTTAGTTTATATAATTATACAGAGCATGCTTGGTGATCAGCCAATGATAAGCTCTCTACCAGGCTGTCAAGCACTTTAATGCAATTGTGATGCTTCACAGGGACAATCCATATACAGGTTAAGCTTAATCTTAGGATGCTCCGGGGGAGGAGGGTCACGTCCTCTTGGAAAGGGAAGGGGTAGGGCACTTAAAGGCAGTGTAGTGGAAGGTCCTCCAGGTACCCGGGGCTGCAGGTGTAGCTTATTGTTTTAGCTCATCAGCGATGTTGTTCAGTTCATCGCTGAAATCTGAGGGACAGAGGCTGGTTAGTGAGTGGTGTGCGTGAGGCCGCTGCAGCTCGCATAACTCAGAACACACTGATGTCATAGAAACTAGATTCAATTAAAAACCTCATCCGCAGCTTAGCTTAGCATCTTCACAAAACACTTTTAACATTACTGGGCCAATGGACTCAGAAGCTTCAGTGATGCTCCCTCATGGCAGAGCCTTGCACCATTGTGAAGGAAGTGAGCTCCTCCACAAGGCTTTTCAGCATAGAAACACCTTGTTAAAGAACGGCTACCTAATTCTGCGTCTTCTACTTTCTTTGCCGCTTGGTTGGCCAAGTTGGGAAGAGGGTCCACCTTTGGTTTGGCGACACCACCACCTGGCACGCCGGGTGACCCTTTAGGGTCTGCTTTGTTAGACTCTTGTCCAATTAAGGATTTCACCTTCTGCTTGGCAACAGTGGCTGTGGGAGAAGTAATAACATTTATTTAGTCGACACCTTTATTCAAAGCAATGTGCACTTTTGGAGAGAAAGCATGGTCAGTTAGTCCCTGAATCGAGTGGTGGTTACGGGTCTTGCTCAGGGGCCCAGTGGTGACTTCACTCTGCCAACTCCGGTAAGTAAACCAATGCCCTGCCGATCACAGGCGCCTGCTGGCCCAGACGCCACCCCCTTAGCGAAACAATGAGTGTTTGCTCTGGAACCGGGCGGACTGATTAGGAACAGACGTGCTATGAGGCGTTAAATTCCCGTCGAGCTTTTCATGCTGTGAACAAGTTCGGCAAGTGTGTACCTGCTGGTCCACATGCCTGAGATTTTGAGAGACGCGTCTCTTTTTAAACCCCCCTGCCTTCTGATTAGCGCAGCACCCTGCAGACAAGGTGTCCTCATCATCCCAGCTAACCTGCTGAACATTTGAACGTCATACAGTGCGCTCTCCTACCTATGGCACTGAACTTTTCTCAACGACTCAGCTGAGGTTAACAGAAACGTCGAAGATGCATTTCGTGCTTTGACCTGAACAGAAAAAACGAGATGACGGTGCTGCTGAAATTTTATTTATGCCGCAAGGAAGAGCGATATGCTTTGCTCAGTTTTAGGGTGTATGTCTTGTTTCTAAAATGTATAAAAACAGTTTGCTTCACTCACCCAGAAATTAAATACCCTTTATGCATGTAAAAGAGTGCACACAAACACGACAAGTTCCTCTTCCTAAAGGACTGCTTTGTAGTGTCAGTTGCTAACATTGCCCTTCCACGCTCCCCCCATGTTCTCACCGGCTTGGTCGACGGCCTGATTGACCATGGCGTCCGAGTTGCTGCCCATCGCTTTCTTCAGGAATGATGCCATCTCTGTGAGTGATGTGTTTGCAGAGCCTGTGTGGGTCAGAGGTGAGCCTCTGCTCTTATAGAGGTTGCCGCTTTCGGTCCCTGGTGACACACCCCATGTTGTCACCTCATAGGACAGCAAAGGAGGGGCGGAGCTTGTGTCGATAAAGCATCATCCTGCCTGTGGCCATTGCTGAGCATCATGGGGAGGTGCCCACCCACTGTGCCGGTTTCTCCTGTTTGGACTCTCTGATATGGGCGTGCCGCCTCTTGTTTTGTTTTCTTTCTCCGCAAGCAACAGGGTACAGGAGCCCCTGAATAATTTACCAGCTGACAACGTCCCATTGGTATGGAGAAGGCCTCTCCCTTTTAGCTCTAATGATAACAGTCTGATGGGGTTTATACTTTGTAAATATGTAGTTGCGATTGCCCCACTAATGCAAATTTGAATAACACCAGAGGGTGACAACAAGAATGCCTGACATGACACGGGAGTGTCTGGCAGAGTCTGCTTTCTCTGCCTGAGGGTGTGATTTGGAATCCTGGGCTGTTCACCATGGAAACCCTTCATGCACATAAGATGGCAAGGACTGCCGATCATACCTGTAAACTTTGTTGTTTTTTTCTTTGAATAAAGGGGTGGATAAATTCCTTTTTATATATGACGTTTGTAAAGGTCATCACATCTACTAATAATAAATTACCAAGTACAAAAATTATTTTCACTATATCAATTATTAATTTTAAAAAACATTTTACTCTATCAGGGCATCATGTGAAAACGATTGGTTCATAGCCAGTCCCTACCAGCCATTCAGCTATCCCAAAATTGCCTTATTCTAACACCCTCATGATTTTTTAAGTCTATATTAGGATGATTCCATCAGTTTATTTTTAATCTAGCTTGCCAACATCGCTACTAATTCTTCATACTAATTTGTAAAGTGGGGAATTAGGGCTGTCAAATAATATATTTTTTGAATCACAATCATTCAAATAATTTTGGGGATTAATGACATGATTAATCGCATATATAGTCATGTTGAAATTCCACCAATAACAAGATTTTATAGTCTGTATATTCAATGTAGAAATATAACATGATATAAATACAAAATGCATATGACAGCTTCCAGTGGGAAGCCGCTAACTGAGTGTTCTGAATTTACCTGTAAAGTTTGGCATTCTGTGCAAGCTTTCGCTATAGGTCTTTGTTAAAAATCTTTGCTCGTACTATTCTCCTATTTGGGCAACAAGATGTATGCTGATGGACATGGAAACCATGGATCATATTTTATGTTTTTGCATGGTGTTGTTTTATTATCTTGTTAATCCTGTTTTCATTTTGCGTGCGAGTCATTAACTTTTATCACTCTTGTCCTTTGTGTTAGCGAAGGGTGGATGAGAGAAACAGGGTGTGTCAGGGCGTGTGAGGATGAACATTGCTGAGCACACGGCTCCAAATTCGTATTCCCACAGCTTTGTGTGAGCAGTGCTGGCAACCCAGCCTGGTGTCACAAGACAGCTGTCCAGGCCAGGGGTGACGGGAGTGGTTTTTGGACAGGGCAGAATCTCCTCGGAAAACATGTCCTTTCGCAGCTCTCATTGGGTTTGATTTTCTCATCCTGTGTTTCTAATGGATGAGACCTGTTGTAAATCTATTTATAGTCACACAGGTTGGGAGGTGCAGGTCGAGCACCTGAGCACCTGCAGTCCTACAGAAGCTGTTGTCATGAGGTGGCAACTGCACACGCTAGCATTGAATGCTTTGGTTGTGTTATGCCTGCGGTCCTCCCTGTCTTCAGGCTATCCTCTGACAGGCTCTGGCACATTCTGCTGCCTTTCCTTTTGTGTTCCCGGCCTTAGCAACACCAAGAAAACCTTCCAGAGCTGTATTGCAGAAACATAGCTGGTAGGTTGTGGCACCTGTAGGGGTTTAATGTGTATTATAGTACCATTGTAGGTACAGGATCTGCCCTCATTTTCCTTTCCATTTCCGGAAATGATTACCATAGAGATTCAAAAACAGGAAATCATGAAGCAGCAATATTATCAGGGGCTACTGCTGGAGACATGCTGTTCCTTTTAGCTTATTCTTCAGATGTTTTTTTCTGATCTTACTTGCCTGACTTTCCGTTTTACTCATGTTCACCAGGCCCTTCACAGATGTAGTGACCTCCCTCTAGGGGGCGATAGTGACTCGCATGCTGTTTCACACCTATGGATAGCTGTGTGGACCAGTGTTACCATGGTTTTGATTCTTTTATTTAGTTTTTATTTTTATATTATTTGAAGCTGCATATGTGTTTAGTATTTACTTGTCAGTGTGTTTGTGCTATTTTTCATTAGTTTTCATTTTAAAGACTTGTACTTTAAAGATTTTCTATTTAGTTTTTACATATTCTAATTTTGGGGTGGCACAGGGGTGGAGTGGTTAGCACTTTTGCCTCGAACCCAAGTCCCGGCTGTGAACCGCCCCAGAGCACGCTGGAGGTCCCCAGCAGATAAAACCAACAGGACGACATCATCCGCAAAAAGCAGCGAGGCAATCCTGAGGCCACCAAACTGGATACCATCAACACCCTGGCTGCACCTAGAAATCCTGTCCATAAATATTATAAACAGGATCGGTGACAAAGGGCAGCCCTGGCAGAGCCCAATATGCACTGGCAACACATCCAACTCATTACTGGTAATGGGGACCAAGCTTCTGCTCCATTCATATAGGGATCGAATCGCCTGCATTAGCAGGCCCCGGACCCCATACTCCTGAAGCACCCCCCACAGAGCACTTCAGGGAACCCAGTCGTAAGCCTTCTCCAAGTCCACAAAACACATGTAGATTGGATGAGCAAACTCCCAGGCTCCCTCAAGTACCCTCGCTAGAGTATAAAGCTGGTCCAGTGTTCCACGGCCAGGATGAAAGCCGGATTGTTCCTCCTGAATCTGAGATTTGACTATCGATCTCACCCTCCCCCTGTAGTTGGAAAACACTCTCTGGTCCCCTTTCGTAAATAAGGGGACCACCACCCCGGTCTGCCAATCCAGTGGCACTGTCCCTGACCTCTACGCACTGTTGAGAAGTCGTGTCAGCCATGACAGCCCCACAACATCCAGAGCCTTCAGGTATCCCAGACGAATCTTGTCCACCCCCGGGGTCCGGCCACCAAGGAGCTCTTTAACCACCCTGGTAACCTTAACCTCAGTGATGGGCAAGTCCACCCCAGCCCCCTCTGGCCCTGTGCCCTCTGATGTCTCGAAGGCGGTGTGCGTAGATGTATCTGAGGCAGGGTTGAGAAGGTCCTCAAAGTATTCCTTCCACTTCCGGATGATGTCCCCAGGTGAGGTCAACAGCACCCCCTCCCCACTGTAAACAGTAGGAACCAGGAGCTGCTTCCCCCTCCTGATATTCTGGACGGCTTGCCAGAACCTTTTTGAGGCCGACTTAAAGTCACTTTCCATGGCCTCACCAGACTCCTCCCATGCCAGGGTTTTTGCTTTCCGAACTGCCTGAGCCGCATTCCGCCTGGCCTGCCGGTACCCGTCAGCTTCCTCTGGAGACCCCTGGGCTAATAATTGCCGGTAGGCCTCCTTCCTCAGCTTGACATGCCCCTCACCTCTGGTGTCCACCATCAAGTATGGGGGTTTCCGCCACGACTGGCACTGACCACCCTGCAGCCACAGCTCCGTACGGCTGCTTCCACAATGGAGGTCTGGAACAATGTCCATTCAAACTCAATGTCCCCAACCCTAGCTTATAGGGACTGTAGTTCTAGCTATCTGCTCACTCCCAGTTAGACCTAGAGTGTGAGGTGTAGAGCTGGGTGGGGATCGGTGCCATTGGCTTGGGATGAACTGAACTGTCAGTGCTGTCACTCTAGCTTCACAGCCCCTTGTGGAATTGGAGTGCTGACGTTTCAGGGACTCCCCATGCCTATGTTCGTCACTATACCTGTGGCATCTTTTCGGCCTGCTCGACCATCTGCCTGTGACGTCTCTCCTGCATGCCCTGCTGTTGTACCACTGTTCGTCCTGGCCTCTGAAGCAGTACCAGCACCTACCTGCCATTACCTGCCTGCCCCCTGCATTGATACTCATATGTTAAAATTGGGACAGTGTGAATTGGAACTTTGCCATCTTGCTCATTTGACTTTTTTTGCCAGCCCCTGGAGGATGGGCTCCCCCTTTGAGTCTGCTTCTTTCTATCTGATCTGATCTGATGATATGAGTACAAATTTGATCATCAAACTGCAGCTTAGGGTGCTCTGGTGCCAGGTGCACTTATGAATACCCTTATGCTCAAACATGGTGTTTATTACTGTATGTTAAGTAAGGGATAATGTACAGGCAGCCGGTAGTTATCGCAGAAATAAGCCCCGACAGTGTGATCAGGACCCGACGTTCAACTTGTGTTTGTGTTTCAAAATCCCCATCAAACCACCCCAAGATGGATTTGGATCGTCACTCCTTCCCTGTGTTTAGTCGTGACAATGGTGACAAATTTTATACAGATTTTTTAAAATATATACTAGATGATGTTGAAAAGAATTAATATTGCAACGCTTGCTAAGTTTTGTTTCTCATATCAGAGTAAAAATGTTTTAGTGTAATTTATTGATGATCTAATTCAACTAACAACTATGGTTCTTGTGATGTGTAAACTATGTAGAAAACATGCAATGTTGACATTAACATCGCACATCATAATAGTTGGTGTATCACATGTACTGAGTTTTGTAACAGATGTATTGGCATTGAGAAGATAATTTGTCATCAGTTTTGGATTCTTTCCAAACAACATCCCCTATTTAAGGTGGACCAGAAAATGCTAATAAAAAGCTGGCAAATATGTAACCAACTTGAGCATCATGCCCTGTCCAAGGTTGGTTTTTGCTTTCCACCAATTACACTGTATAAATATTATAATTTTATGTGTACTATATGTGTATTATAGGAAAATGATTACTCGATTAATCATTAAATTAATTTGTAGATTTCTTGATTATTAAAATATTCGATAGTGGCAGCCTTATAATGGTAAAGCATCGATAACTTAAGTGACTGGCACAATTTCCATCTTCTATTGAAATTTGGAAAGGAGATATAAAGACATGTACGTAGGCTAATGCAGCAAGTGTCCAACCAAAATTAATTTTACATCATAATCCAAAGCCAAACGTTAGATATCTAGATAGCCAGCCATCATCTTATAATAATTATTATTGCTGTAATTTATTAATACCAGTGTCAGAAACTCTCATTCTCACACATTACAGACATTGGTCTTCATAGAGCGGGGCGGCATTGAGGTGCAGTGGTTAGCACTGTTGCCTCACGCCTCTGGGACCAGGTTTTAAGCTCCTGCCATGGCTCCATGTGCGTGGAGTTACCATGTTCTCCCTGTGTCATCGTGGGTTTTCCTCCAGGTTCTCCAGTTTCTCCTCATAGTCCAAAAACACACTGAGGTGATTTGGAGTTACCGCCTGTCGATGTCAGTATCACAGATTTCATAATGTTGTTTATTACTACTCTGCTAACCTGGAGTACGTTTCCCAAAAGCATAGTTGCTAACAATGCTAGCAACTTGAATAGGTGGAACTATGTAATTGAACAATTCCAGCTATGCAAGTTGCTAATGGGAGTTTTGGGAAATAGGACTTACCTTCTTAGCCTATTAGCAATGAAAAACTTTACATCAATGGTTGTCGGTATATATTTTTTTCCTTACCAGCTGCACTTGTGGATATTGTGCACACATATTCCTTGAGTGAGAAAATATATGTCACTGGTTGTGCAGGTGTAGTTAAGACTGTTGTGTAACAGTCTAGGATTTTTGAATCAGCCCATTTTGCCACCTTCTTTTACATATGTGGGATTAATATTTGAAAGAGGGAACAACAGTGTTTGAGATTCAACGTCTGTCACTTTCTTGTACTGAACTCTCCTTATTCTTATATGCTGAGGTAAAGTCAGAGTTTCATTCTACGGCACCTTTAACTCACCTGAACGTCAAGAAAATAGTGCCTTTAAATCTGACAGGGAGTTCTTGTGTATGCATATGTGTGAAATTCATGTCATTGATCTGACGTTTTTTTGAAAGTCTACAGCTGCTGTGATTGATCTGCTGGGAGCAGAATCCAACCAACAATTTTTCAGACTCTGGAGTGTTAATCCGCTGAGTCACATACCACCTTCTGACTAAACACATTAAACATTAAGTAGCCACATATTGTTTTCCACAAACTTAAGTTACATTATTGTGGCTTATTTTAAAACCAGCTTTGTTATGCTTGCTGATAGTAGCTGCTAGCTTAGTAGTTGTAAAACTGATGTGACCTCATCACAATGAGACCCCATCATGCAAGTTTAAGGCAGAAAATTCTCTCTGCTCTTGTATTTATGAAAGGCAATATACTGTATGTTATTGTTGAAGTGTGCAGAGTAACAATAATAATACACAATGTGACATAGTTGTATGTGCACTTTATCTTTAACTGTATGTTTAATAAAAAACTTTGCTAAACAAAAAAATCATAAAAGATTGGCAATTTTGTTGAATTCAGCAGGATATGGCCATTTTACAATGAAATTAATAATTACTACAGGATGCAGTGGAGGTGTGTGTCTGTTACATTTGTGTTTGATGAATCATTTATTTCTGAGTTGAAATAGTTGTTTATATTTTTATATTTAAAAATAAAAAATTACATTTTTTAAAATCTTGAACTTGACCCAGTTCCAGTAATTGTCTAGGTCTCGTCTCAGGCTTATCTCCTGTTGAATTTGGTCTTGATTCAGACTCAGCTAAGTTGGACTTGTCTTCTCATTATCTTGGGCCAGAGAGAAACATTTTCAGCAAGGTGACTTCTTTTGATGATACGCCAGGAAGCAAAATCATGACACTGTGTTTGGACTAAATTGCCTTTATTTCAGTTGTACAGTTTACAAAATCGGCTGTCTGCCCTGATGCCTGTAATGTGCATTAGAGTGACATTTGAAGATGAATGTATATTGTATGTCGTATGTGCCTTTGCATTTGTATGAGACATAAGGCAACATGCAGCCTTCCAGCCTCACGGCAGTATTGTAAAAAATCAGTTTCAGTGAGCTGAACTTAACAGAGCTGTGTGAGGGCCAGGGTCTGGTATTCGGGGGCTGGCCGATGGACGAGCAGAGATGCGGTGGACTGAAGTTGTTTGCTGGAGGTTGGAGACATTCCCTCTGCTGTGAAAGAATCCACATCCTACAGAAGGTGAGTCCTTCCCCTCTGTCACACCAGGCTTGATGCTGCCCTTTGACCGGACACTGTGCACATGCTGAAAGACCGTCTTGAAATTTTAAGTTTTCGCTTAATGTTATTACCCCTAATGAGTGGCCGTGTCTCAGTGCCACCCAGCTGCAATCAAATAAACGGTCACAGACACGGACCCAAAAGCAGGCTGGATTTACGGCCCACTCTCTCTGTAAAGCCGTCTACATTAGGGGACTGTCACAGGTCTTATAGCACTCAGATTCATAGCCTGACTCAGCCCGTAATCCCATTGACCCTGGGCTGGGGAGAATCAGTTAAGATGTCGTCCTTTATCAATATTCACCATTAAGCAAATTAAGGTAAGTACATATATCGTATATTAGCTGAGATGTTAAATTCTCTACCAACGTGCATAATATTCATAGATCTTGAACTGCTGCACTTCTAACACAGCGAGGGTTAAATGTACGGCTGTGTTTCATATAGACGGCCTGCCCCTCCCCCCACCCGTCTGACTGTGGGTGTGAGCGCAGCGAAGGTGGGCCACCGGAGAGGGCACTGGTGAGACTCAGAGGTGAGGCGGAAGTGAGGACAGGAGGTCAGCAGTGCATTGGGGTGGGAGAGTATAGGCTTTGATAGAATCACAAAAATGACATAAGCGTAGAGAGACCTGAAGCTCGGGGTGGGGGGGGATGGAGGCACAAGTGCTGTAGGGTCCCCTGCTGACGAAAGACAGGGCTGAGGGTGTCGATACTGCTGGGCTAAAACTCCTGGGGGAGAAGAGGGGTGTGATAGTGTGAGCAGGGTGAGTATTGTTTATGATATATTAAAGCCACAACTATAACAAAACATGTTCATGAACTGAAATAAAACTCAATACAAAAGTAAAATCAAAAAAACTACAACTAAATGAAAACCATAAATATTGCTTCCTAAACTTAGTGAAATAGAATGAACAGAAGTAGAATAAAGGCAAACATCCAATACTTTCCATTATAGTGTTTGAATACTATTTAACTAATGATTTGTTTATCTTTAATTATGATTAATAATGAGAAATTTTAAGACATTACTACATAATGACGGCTCTCTGATGATCAGACACATAAAACAGCTGACTCATTCTCATTCTAACTTCATTTTCAGTCTATCCGCAGATATAAAATTACTAAAATTTAAAATGAAGCTTATATATACATAATTAAATAGAAATATGTCTTTTTAAGATTAAAAACAATAAATGCTAATAAAACCGCACTGAAAAGTAAAATTAAAAAACTTAACTAGAGTTATTGATTTTTACATATGTATCATCTGTTTGTTTCTGTGATATTTTGGCAAGCTCGGAAAATATTCCCATTTAATTGTTCATTGCCAGCTCCAGACTAACAGAAACCACAAATTTCAAATTTGTGAATCTGGAGAGGCGACTGTATAACAACAGTGGCTCTGAGAAGCTGATTGGTGGAGAGCTCACTTCTGCCTCTGTCATCATACCATATAATGGTTACAAGGTTTTTTTGCAAACTCTGTTTATTTCTTGCCAGAGTAAGTGTGGCATCAGATGTTGTTGTTGGATGGAAAGTGTATAAAATACACTGGGTGTGTGGGAGGGGAGGGGGGGTCCCCAACTGCTTCCTCTATGATAACTGTGGCAAAATTTACCTTGACCCTCTGCCTGTATAATCAAACTCCTCCTCCCCTCCCTCTACCCTCCCTGACTTGCCTGCTCGCCGCTGTTCCCAGTCTGCTCCTCAGTTCCTCCGGGCTGCAATATGTCTGCCTGCATGATCAAAGGAGGAGCCGTTAGTCTGGAATCTCGAGGATGGTGACTCTAGCAAAGTACCAATACTTGGTGGTGAAGCCAGCATGAATAAAAACATGATATTCTGTACCAGCACCGTGTAGGAAGCCAGCGGCCTATCAATGAACCTGTGGCTGGTCTTTAACTTTATGGGGACTGACTGCGACATGGATGCCAAGGCTGGTGCGTGGCAGAGAGAATGAGTCTCTGAGAGCAGAGTGGCCTTTCAGAGCGTGTAAGCAAGGAGGAGCCATGTTCAGAGCAGATGAAAGTTTAGCCGCCCAAAGCCTGCGTGTGTTCTGCTCATCCGTGTGCTTCCCTTCATCCCTCTCCAAACCGCGGGACACGTTGTTTCTCTGGTCCTAAATTTAATTTTCCAAAGTGCTGTCTGTCCATCTAGAATAACAAGTGTACTGCCAATGTGAAAAGCGTCTCCATTAATGAGATTACTGAGCAATAAAGGAAATGAGGTCCCTGTGGTGAGCCCTCCCTCTTTACAAACACACACACACACACACACACACACACACACACACACACACAGACATGACTGACATTGTAGGGGGGGAGACATGAGATGGTGAGTTGGCGTGGGGGGGAGCTATGAGCTCTGAATAAAAGGCAGTGGTTTTTAATTACAGCACAGTCGACATCCTGTTTTTAGAAAAACAAGAAGAGGACACTGAAAACTGTGCACACACACAATGTAGTCACACCATTGCAGAAACACACAGACCCACACAACGCATGGGATAGGGAGGAAGGGCTCACACTGCAGTTAGTGGGGTGTGAATCTGATTGCGTGCATCACACAAGTGTGTGGGGGGGGGGTTATTAGTAAAGCTGTAGCAGTGACACCGGCCCTAGATATGACCCAGATTAATGGGGTAGGATAGAAAGCTTTGCATTCAACCCCCCTCCTCCAAGTCTCAAAAGGCACCTTATTGGCTGGGTCATCCTGCCACCGGCCACAGTGTGGTTTCCAGTGGGACAGACAGACAGACAGACAGACAGAACAGGTTATCAGGTTAAATGTTCATCATCAGCTGGCTCATCGGAGAGACAATGTCACCTTGGTAACAGGGCGGCTCTTGAAGACTGGCACTATGTGGGGGGTGGGAGAACTACCCCCCATGACAGACCCCAATTATAACCATGCCTCAAGAGGAGTTTAAGATTACTACCCTGATGTCACTGTTTCTTAAGATAAGCAACAAACCATAGTCTAACCATGATAACTGTGATCACCACGTTCCCCAATGCTGTCCTTGCTCTTTGTAGCAATTTATAAGGTGACACTGAGTCCCGCAGGAACAGCTCACCATATTCTCACCGACACCGCTGGGATCTGGTGTGTAAGGTATGCAGAGAGAGAGCCTTGGATAGCCTCAGAACTCACCGGATTCACCAGGCCGGTCGACATAGCCACATTCTCCACCCCTTCCACTGTCTTCTGGGTGATTTCATTGGCGCCGACAACTGTCGCATCCCCCACAATGTTAGCCTGCTCAGTAGTTTTCATTGCCACTGAGACAAGAAAAAAAAGCCTTGTTGTGATTTTTCTCACCTCTAGGGGGAGTCTACATGAGTCAGGCAGGCGTACTTCAGTACGGATGCAGGCTAGAGCTCAGGTATAACTCTGAGGGGTTCAGAGAACAGCATCACACTCCACTACACTGTTTTCTGAGCATGAACAGGACAAATGACCTATGACCTGACTCTCGTACCTGTGTTCACGCTGGTTACCACCCCTTCTTTGGTCTTTGTACCTGTAATGGAGAAAAAGGGAGATAGAAACAAGACACCACGTTATTTATTTTCAGCAAAATGTGAGCTGGTTATCAGAAACCTCACACTGTATCCTGAGTAACCTGCCCTTCCTCCTGCCCTGGCCCCACCCTCACCAGCTCATTCTTCCTGGCTCCAACCCACAGGCTCCTCCCTTTGGCCTGGCTCCAACCCACAGACTCCTCCCCCTGGCCTGGCCCCACCCCTCAGGCTCCTCCTCTTGGCCTGGCTCCACCCCATGGGTTCCTTCCTCCCTCCCTCGCTGCCATACTTCTACTGCAAAGGCTCTTTGAGCAAAAGGGCAGCTGTTTGGTTCCCAGCTGCTGCACACGCCATCTGGGACTTTGTACATTGACAGACTTGCCCAGTGCAGCCCTCTGATGGCCTGGCATAAACTGTATGGCCAAACAAGCTGTATCACTGTTCCCCTGCGTGCGGCATGCTAATGACAGATGCTTGAGAAAGACAAAGGGTGCCTTGAGTGACAATGAGTGCTGTGTGTGCAAGTGGTGCAGGGTGGAGGGGGATTGGCCTTCCTGGCGAAGCAAGAGTGAGCACTGTGAGTGTGAGTAAGTATCCTGGCCAAGACACCAGCCCACTCCATAGGGACAATAAATGGCATTTGTGGTTTTTTTCCAGAAGCCTAGTCTGCTTTCTGCTAGCTTTCAACGCCCAGCCTCTGAGTGTCATCCTGCTTTCCATTTTCTCCTTCTTGGTAAAAGTCTGATTACTGTTACTTTATAGGTGCCTGTTGCTAAGTCCCCAGGTCACTGGGTGTTTATTTAGTAGTATCCATAGTGGCCTACAAGCAGGGTCAACCAGTCTATAAAGCAAGGCTTAATGGCTTTGCTCAACGGTGAGATTTCTCTCCTGACTATGGGATTTGAACCAGCAAACTTCTGCTGACAGGTGCAGAGTCCTAACCCACAGAGGCACATCATGGTAACCCCTCTGCCCAGCTAAGCAGCCCTCCTTGTCTCTGTCTAAGTCACAGCTGTCCTGTAGGATGTACTGTACTATACTAAATGGGTCTGTACTGGTTTATATCACCTAAAATTGGCTCAGAACAGAAATCTGTTGCCCAAAACTAGCACATATCCATTGTGTGCTCGTACCACCCTAACCCTGCACTGGTTCATTCTGTATGTACTCGCTCTACAGAAACCCAGTACTGGATGGAGCAGAAATGAGAGTAGATGGTTTGACCTTTGTTCAAAGTACAGCATCGCGGCAGACCCCCTGGGGGCCGAGTAGAACATTGCATTGATCCATTGATCTGCCAAGGGGTGGGGTGGGAAGGATGGAGAACACAATGACGAAAGAGCCCATTTCTGGAAGGTTCTGGGAGAGGCAGCAGGCTGGATTAGTACAAATTTGTCTGAGTGCCTGTCTGACTGAGGTATGGTTTCAATATGGGAAGGAGAGATGAGGCGTGGTGCATCGACTGGGCCTCCCATCTTCCTGTCAGCCACACCTCATGGCCCCTCGGTGGCCTCCTGGGTGGGAACTAACCTGGGGTTAGTTAGCGTGTTCTGAAAAGGTGTAATCCTGTCGATTTCTAGTGACGTGACCTGCAGTCCCAATTGTGGGCCAATGAAAAAGGCCTCGCCATGGCACACAGTGATGCAGCAGAACCACAGTGTAGTGATGTTGTGAAGAGCCCCTCTGTGGTTGCCCCCAAGGCATTGTGGGTAATGCAGCCAGATAGAAGGCCTGTATTATCTATAGTCACTGTGACCCTGGAGCCAAGAGCAGCTTGGGAGGAAATGAGAGCCCCCCCCCCTCCCATGCATTTGACTATGTTGTGGTCTGCGTTCTTAGTGCTACCCAGTTACATTCCCACCGGGTCCACTGAGGCAAACGCAACAGAAATTCTACATTTGCTAAGACAGAAACGTCCCACTCAGCACTTTGGGGCCGCCCTTAGAGCCATCTGCATTTACCCCACTGAGGTAACGCAATGCCCCCTGCTTGCCCCACGTCACACCGTCACCCTCAGCCTGTCTCCCCGTGTCCCTGGGCCCTATGATCCAAGCGCCGCCTGTAACCTTCAGTTGGCACATGGTGATGCACCTGCGGGCTGGGAGCGCCTGCAGCAGTTAGCGGCTAGCTGGCAGCCCCCCCACCTCCCTACTCACCCACATACATGACACCCTCCTTGGTTTTGGCAGCCGCCTCCTCGACCCCGGCCTTGGTCTTCTCTGCGGCAGCAACCACCCCCTCCTTAGCGATGGAGAAGCCCTTCTTCAGAACGTCCATCCCGACCCGGCCTGTGTCCCTGCAGTGCTGAGTGGGCGTCTGTTTGTGCGGTTGTGGCTGAGTATGCGTCTGCGTGCGGTCCGGTGTGAGTGCCGCAGGCGCAGCACGTCCGATCAAGGCAGGGAGAGCGGCAGGAGAGGAGCCAGAGCAGGAGACCAGCTGAGGAGGAGACGCAGGGAGGAAAGATGGATCCTACTGGATGCTGCAGTGTATTTAAGTGCCCCCCCCTCCCCCTGCCCCCTCCCCTCCTCCCTCCCCCAGTGCATACACAGGCAGTGGACACACACTCCAGCTGCAGCGTGCGGCTGCGCGTCTGCATATTTAATGTGCGGATGCACACTACCGAAGTACGCAGGAACCACAGGGGACCATGGTGCTGTGTCATGCGGGCAGACAGTTGCCCTGCTGGCTGGCCATTAGCCGTCCCTGATTACAGACATACCAAATGACCTCACAGAATTTGGTGATAACCTTTATTATAGCATTTTTATCTACAGTCAGTGTTCGATCGTATATCGATGGTGTGTGAGTTGGTGGTCTGTACTGTGCCGACAGTGTCTCTGGGACACGGGGCAGAGCCCAGCATACAGGCAGTAGCACAAAGATCCTCTGAGCTAAAATTAGCTGCTTCGGCTCCCACTACCCCCAAGGGACTTGCCTTCTCTCTCCTCCCATGCAATCTCCTTCACTTTGCTCCTGCCTCTGCTGGCCACATGGGCAGGGCTCCCCTAAACAGGGAGGGGGGGTTATTAAACTGTTGTGGAGGCCTGGACCTGACCCAAGTACAGTTATCTGTTAGCTGCCTGGGGGGTGATACTTGTCTGTCTGGATGCTGGATCATGGGGAGCTTATGCCAGGCTGCTCTCCTGTTGGAGATGGGGACTGTCTGCATGGTAATAAACAAAACACCCGCTGGTTCTAATGAGGGGTGTGTTGAGTACCTGCCCTCCCTTCCACAGTGGCCCTGACCTCCATAAAAGGATGACTTGTCAATGCGAGCAGGGAAATGGCTGAGTCACGTCTCCTCCAGCCCGACCGCCATCCTGGTGCAGAAATCTGGCAGTCAGCACCCAGCCTCCACCTGGCCCCTCCCTCTCTCACTGCCAATTGGCTGGGAGCCGGGCCTCGGATATTTATAGTGCTTCCCATTTGTCAAAATGGTGAGAAAATGCGTGCAGATATTGGCTCTGAGGCCTTTCATCAGTGAAGCCCTTGGCTTTCAGGATTTGGTGAGAGGGGCCTGCATTGTTCACACTGCCCAGTGAAGTAATTACTCACACACGCTCACCTGTGAGCGTGCACTTCATTGGGGAGATGAGAGTAACCCCCCCCCCCCCCCCGATGCCTGTCATAAGTGTCAACACTGCAGTGTTTACATGAAAGGTTCATCTGCAGTAGCCAGGCTGTGTTCCTTTACTGACCAGCCTAAAAGTCTAGGCTTGAGCCTCACGTCTACGACTCCCCGCAAACCAACAGCACAGATTTGGGCTTGAACGATAGGGACGTGTGTGTTTTGGAGGGGATGGCTTGCTGATTTGGTCCCTACCAATGTTGAAATCAAACCTACGCCCTTGTTTCAAACTCAAGACCAGTCCAGCAGACCAAGGTGAGGTGGATGCAGATATTGAGAGAGGAGGATGGTGAGAGGGCAGGCAGGCCTGGTGCTCTGCAGTAATGGGCTGGGCGGAGTCTTGGCCTCGGCCAGCAGTTGGAAAGGAAAATGTGTTTTTCTCAGCAACAATGTCACAGTGGCTGACCTTGAGATGACTGAAAAAAACAATAGGAAACAGCCTCAGTTAATGACGTGTTTACTGGTGTGTGACCTAGAGCTCCTTCATGAGGTCGGCAATCGAACTCTAAAGAACCACCCTTCGGCGTTGAATTTTGAATAATCCGCCAAATAAAACACGCCCAGATGATGTTTTTTCAAGCAAGCCTTTTAATGTTTTAGAAGTCCAGTGCGCGGCTGATAAACACTGCAACTGTGTGAGGCCCTCAGGAATTTTGGGAGGTCCTCCAAGGCCCCAAGCAAGAGGTTATTTTGTGTTTTTAGGCTCATAACCATGGTCACAATGTGCTTTAATTCCATAGTTTGTTATTGGAAACATGTGGGGGTATTAGTCAAATTAACAACAAAGTGGAGTCTTATGAAAGTCTCCTGGTTTCTTCATCTCGACCTCCCCAACCTCTCTGGGAGCACAAAAGCTAAAAATGAGGTCAGAGGGACCAAAGCCGTGCAGTGAGTGGCCCCGGTGCCCAACTCATTATGGGGGGGACTGCTCATTAGTACAGGGGTGCCACGGTGGCTCACGGCAGAGTGTGACATTCCAGGCTCAGGATGCCCTCACCCTTCAGGGCTCACACCTGAGCGTCAGGGCTGAGTCCCCTCAGTTGTCCTCATCTATTTCAGACCATGCTCCGGCACCTTGCACCCCCCAGCCTGAGGCTTTGACTTGGATGGAACAGCAGAGGGATGGGCAGGCCAGAGGGGGCTTGGGGCACTGGGTGCACTGCCTGTGGTAGAAGTGCTCTGGGGCTCAGTTACGTATCGACAGGATAAAGACAGCAGAAGGCATGATCCATGACCAGCATTCCTATGGATCGGCGTCCGGTTACTCTTCCACGCTTCTCTTGCTGCCCCTGCCCCCCTCCCCCACCACCGCCAGACCCATGGGGAGGCCCCTGCAGCATCCTGACATACCCACAAAGCTCCAGCACTGGCACAATTGCCGTCTCCTTGCAGCGTCTCTCCTAAAAATGCACCTGCTGGCCTGGCTGGGCACTGGGGGGTATCAGTGACGTGTCAGACAGGCGGGAAGCCACACACACATGAGGCTAACTTCAGTGTTACAGGTGTCAGTGTCACACCAGCACATATGGTCATACCATCATACATGGATGCCCCCCCACCACTCCAGCCTCATTGCTGTTTTTTCATCTGTCACCCAGCAGACTCATGCTAGAGCTGGCCATGTGTTCTTCCTGTGAAGTAGCCAGCAGGGGCCCAGAGTCTCCATCTCGGGGCCCAGTGTCTCCATCTTGGGGTCCAGTGTCTCCATCTCAGGGGCCCAGAGTCTCCATCTCGGGGTCCTGTGTCTCCATCTCAGGGGCCCAGAGTCTCCATCTCGGGGTCCTGTGTCTCCATCTCAGGGGCCCAGAGTCTCCATCTCGGGGCCCAGTGTCTCCATCTTGGGGTCCAGTGTCTCCATCTCAGGGGCCCAGAGTCTCCATATCAGGGGCCCATTGAAAGCCGTGGCTGGGAGGTCCGTCAGTTTACCAGATTAAATCTTCCCTGTGCAAAATCCTGCTGACAGGGCTGGATCCAGGCACAAGCAAAATAGGCAGCTGAGTCAGGCCCGATCGGAACAAGGGTGCACAGACAAAGTCATGAAAAAAGAATAAGAATAATTACACAAAATTAAAAATAATACAAAATTAAACCATATACAACAAATTATATAGGCAGTTGCTTAGGGCTCCTGAATTACCTGTGTTGCAGAAGATGTGAAATGAACATCAGTTTTCTTAATAGGTGGCCCTCCAAAATATAGCCGTGCTTAGGGCCCCTGAAAAGGTAACGCTGACCCTGGATATAAATTGTATGGACAAAAGTATTGGGCATCCCATTTTAAATCCATAAGCATATGAAGTTGGTCCCCCCTTTGCAGCTATGGCAGCTGGAGTGTGTCTCTGGGAATTTTTGCCTATTCATCCAAAAGAGCCTTTGTGACGTCAGGCACTGATGCTGGATGAGAAGGCCTGGCTCGCAATCTCTGTTCTAGTTCATCCCAAAGGTGTTTTCTGAGGTTGAGATTAGGGCTCTGTGTGGGCCAGTCAAGTTCTGTTAGACCAAACTCACCCAAACATGTTTTTATGGACCTTGCTTTGTGCACTGAGGGGCACAAGAGAAAAGAAAAAGGCCGTCTCCAAACTATTCCCACAAAGCTGAAACTATAGAATTGTCCAAAATGCTGTAGCACTAAGAGTTCCCACACTGTAAAAAAAATCCCGTTGTTTTTACGGAAAAAAACTGGCAGCTGTGGTTACCAGAATTATTCTGTAAAAAATACTTTACACGTGTAAACAACTTTACAGAAACATCTATAAATTGTACTGGATTTCAATGTAAAACAACCACCAACTACATGTAAAGTTTACTTGGTTTCAGTGTAGAATA